TACCGAGTGTGTGTGCATGTGTGCGCGTATGTGTGCTCTGCAGTTACTGATTTACATTAAATGATCATCAGCCCATCCAAGAGAAGTTCTAGCACATCTTAAGCTCTTGACCGCTCCCCATTTTCAGTAAATGCCTCCTTCACTACCGGGTCTGCTCCTACATACCAAATAGAGCAGAGAAGTGTGATGAAGGGCGGCTGATGAAATGTCATTGTCCCGCTACCATGCACAATACTTTAGCGCCCTCTGTTGGTGTGTTGAATTACAACACAGTTGTTTTTAAAAACACATTATTTGACTTGTTCATGCATCACAGTTGATGCAAACGATCCTAAGTGGGCACATTTTCAACCAGCTCCTGACAGAAAACAATTGCCATCCCCTGAACCTAACTTATTACAATATTAGTTTAATTTCCCCTCGCCTTCGGCAAAAAAAAAAAATCACTCCAAGTCTGCCCATTCCTGAAATACAATTTATCTGTGTCTGATACCTATCTTGGATTAATGATGAAGGTGAATTCATTAACTTAACTGCAAGGTTTATTTGGTGAAAGGGCGAGGTGTGGTGAGGGTTCACAGAAGGGGAGATACAATCCAATTAATTCAGTATTGGTTTGCAAAAGACTTCTGGCCAAGCAATAACTGAGAACCTCTCTCTCTCACACACGCACACATATATATATACACACACACACCCTCACTCTCTCTATGACAATCAAGTTAATTAAAGTAGTTGAACAATCAGGTACTCGGAGTAAAGGCAGAATTTGTCACCCTCAGGCCGAGCACTTTAAATCTTAATCAGACGTACACTAATTAAACTTCATGTCAGCAATATAGCCTAAAAATGGAGAATTTTGCTCTCTGATGCTTGTGTGTGCAGTTGTATAGAGTACTGACACTAATGTGCTTGTGGCGCATGGATGTTTCTATCCAGTGTAGTTTGCTACAGTCATTATGTCAGTCACTGTGTCATGCACATTTAAGTGCCCGGGTCATGTTGACTTATAAGACCAAAAAGATACTGTTGCAGTGGTGATACAGGTGTTGGACAAGACAGTGGCGCCCCCAAGGAGGGGCCAGGGGGGCCATGGTGCCCCTGATACAATTGCTGCCCCCTCTGCAAATAATTGGAGGCTGGTAGTTCAGCTAGGTAGCTCAAATGTAATAGTAACTTGTGATAGACAACTTAAGGCATCCCTTGGTACCAACCATCTCAGCATAGCTTGTTGGTAAGGTGTCTAAAAACGCTCTAAAGATAAGGCCTTTACCCACTGAGCTGATTTTTTTCTGATGTGTTTTTTTAATCCGTCATACAAAATTAACAATACATGACAAAATGAAAAGACACATTCCCTCCTTTGCCGCTCTCCACTGGAGTTACCCATCTGGCTGTCATCACTCCCTCCCCGTCTTGCATTTGGCGCCGCAACTGGATGAAGGGGCGGAGCTGTCCTCACATTCTGTGTGAGGTCCACATCCTCCTACTCTTCATCATCATCCAACTAAGTATTACTATCTGACCTGCTGAACGTGAGCTATCCAAGTTATGAAATGATTCTGTGCGACCTGTTCCTCTGTCTTGTCGCGGACCTGTCCCACCGCCACATTTTCTTCACTGATTCTTGGTTAAACGTCTCTAAAGGCTTCAGACAGATGCGAAAAACGCAAAAAAAACGAACCTGTTCCGAAAATTTTAATGGCGGACAACAGTTTCCAACTTACTTCGCAAACGTGATTGACACAATGTGAGGTCTTGTTTATTTTTAGGCGTGCAACAATGTTGGACAGAGAGAACGGACTCAGTGAGCAGACGCCTGCTGATGGAAGAACTGCCACGGCTGTTTTCAAAGAGGTTCCTTGAACTCTTACCTCAAGGTATCTGAATGAAAATGGGTTCTATGGGTGCCCATGAGTCTCCCCTTAACCTGAGAGAGCTTGTTCCCTGTGTTTTGTTCCTTACAATCAACGTACTCCTTCAAATTACACCTGTATATTTGTCTTTTTAAGGAAACGAACAACTGGCCTATTTCAAGCACAAGAAAGATAAACAATAACACGCCTACAGCTAACTCATTTAAAAGTTCTCCAGCAACACTCAGAGAAACACAGAGCTGCTCCTCTGTTTAATCTGTTAATGAGTCTCCAGTGTGACATCGGTTCATATGTTGCACGTGCTACGCTAAATCAATCTGTGAGGTGAATGAAATTAGCGAAGTAGCACCCGTGCAGTACAGCGCTGTGCTGCTAGTTTGTGTGCGAGGTGGATCATGGCGCGCCGCTGTTCTTCTTGGTAGCTGTAGTCTATTTTGTGACACTGAGACAGCGCCTGGAGGCGAAAGATGTGTTTAAAAAATACAGCGACAACACAGTCGTTTCGTGTCCTGTCTCTCTTTCTGTTAATGCTACGTGCATAAATAACAATAATAATAGCTTAAGCAATCTATGCCAAGAACAACAAAGAAAATCCCCTCCTAAATCAAATGAATCTTTAATCTCACCTAATTAAAAGTTTAAAAATCCAGTCTTTAAAATTAAACCTGCCTCTATAGTGAATGGTTATGTTGCTGTTCTGTGTTAATATACAGTACAGGCCAAAAGTTTGGACACACCTTCTCATTCAATGCGTTTTCTTTATTTTCATGACTATTTACATTGTAGATTCTCACTGAAGGCATCAAAACTATGAATGAACACATGTGGAGTTATGTACTTAACAAAAAAAGGTGAAATAACTGAAAACATGTTTTATATTCTAGTTTCTTCAAAATAGCCACCCTTTGCTCTGATTACTGCTTTGCACACTCTTGGCATTCTCTCCATGAGCTTCAAGAGGTAGTCACCTGAAATGGTTTCCACTTCACAGGTGTGCCTTATCAGGGTTAATTAGTGGAATTTCTTGCTTTATCAATGGGGTTGGGACCATCAGTTGTGTTGTGCAGAAGTCAGGTTAATACACAGCCGACAGCCCTATTGGACAACTGTTAAAATTCATATTATGGCAAGAACCAATCAGTTAACTAAAGAAAAACGAGTGGCCATCATTACTTTAAGAAATGAAGGTCAGTCAGTCCGGAAAATTGCAAAAACTTTAAATGTGTCCCCAAGTGGAGTCGCAAAAACCATCAAGCGCTACAACGAAACTGGCACACATGAGGACCGACCCAGGAAAGGAAGACCAAGAGTCACCTCTGCTTCTGAGGATAAGTTCATCCGAGTCACCAGCCTCAGAAATCGCAAGTTAACAGCAGCTCAGATCAGAGACCAGATGAATGCCACACAGAGTTCTAGCAGCAGACCCATCTCTAGAACAACTGTTAAGAGGAGACTGCGCCAATCAGGCCTTCATGGTCAAATAGCTGCTAGGAAACCACTGCTAAGGAGAGGCAACAAGCAGAAGAGATTTGTTTGGGCCAAGAAACACAAGGAATGGACATTAGACCAGTGGAAATCTGTGCTTTGGTCTGATGAGTCCAAATTTGAGATCTTTGGTTCCAACCGCCGTGTCTTTGTGAGACGCAGAAAAGGTGAACGGATGGATTCCACATGCCTGGTTCCCACTGTGAAGCATGGAGGAGGAGGTGTGATGGTGTGGGGGTGTTTTGCTGGTGACACTGTTGGGGATTTATTCAAAATTGAAGGCACACTGAACCAGCATGGCTACCACAGCATCCTGCAGCGACATGCCATCCCATCCGGTTTGCGTTTAGTTGGACGATCATTTATTTTTCAACAGGACAATGACCCCAAACACACCTCCAGGCTGTGTAAGGGCTATTTGACCAAGAAGGAGAGTGATGGAGTGCTGCGGCAGATGACCTGGCCTCCACAGTCACCGGACCTGAACCCAATCTAGATGGTTTGGGGTGAGCTGGACCGCAGAGTGAAGGCAAAGGGGCCAACAAGTGCTAAACACCTCTGGGAACTCCTTCAAGACTGTTGGAAAACCATTTCAGGTGACTACCTCTTGAAGCTCATCGAGAGAATGCCAAGAGTGTGCAAAGCAGTAATCAGAGCAAAGGGTGGCTAATAAACGCATTGAATGAGAAGGTGTGTCCAAACTTTTGGCCTGTACTGTACATCTTTGTTTACACCAGTCTGTGCTTACATGTATTTATTTGTACATGCAACAGAAGCCATCAGCTGATGTCTGTGTACAAAAGATGAGCTTAATGGAAAATCTTTTCATTTCAACCATGATGCACGTGAAAAAAAATGACCTGTGCTTTAAATGTAACATAATGTTGGGAATTTATGTATTAAAAAAAGCCACTTTGACATGATTTACTTCACAAGCTTTATTTGTAGTGGCTTGAAAAGGACTTGTGTTGTGAAGTACACTGCAACACCAGATGGTTAAAGTAGGCTAACGCAAGAACAAGGAAATGCCAAGGGAAATTAGGCCGCTTGCTTGTTTGTCAAAGCTTGACTAACCAGTTATGTCATAACAAATCCTGCTCTGGGCAAAAAAGGGCTTTGGTGCTGCTGCTTTGGCATCCTAACTGCTCTGCACGTCAGCTCAGGCCAGGAAGAGCAATCCAGCCATTCCCAACCTGAGGGACTCCAAACTAGGAATCCAGTTCATGAATCATGCAGACCCAAGGCTCCAGCATGAAAATCACTCATTTGTTCGATTTTTTTCAGGGACTGAAAAAGTTGGACAGCGAATGCCAGAAGCTATCGCGAAAATGGGGATTTTTCTGCTTCGTAATGCTTTCAGGAACTACCCACTTCACTCCGATGCTATGAATAGAGAGAAGATTGGCAGCAGCGGGAGAAGTATGGTGTAACAGATTGGGAGAGTAGAAAGGAAGAAATGTACAGCTCCATCACTCAGAAATAATTTCATCTTGCATGTGACCTCACTTCCTGGAAAGTGTTCCTCCTACAGTCAGTGCCGGTGAATATCAGGTTGCTTTCCCCCCCCCCCCCCCACCCCCCTCTCTCTCTTATCTGTGTTGTAAAGTTTTACGGCATTCAAGTCCTGGGGGCGTAAGGCTCACCACACCTTAGCTGCATGGTCTGTCTGCTGCTTCTGTACATTAGACGATTCAGAGATGAGTCAAAATAAAGATCAGGACTAACATTTGGAACTTAATCAGGTAAGCTTGTTTTGTGGGTGACACATTTATATTAGATTAGTCATTATCTTATAGGTGCTCAGAGCGTAATTACAGTTTTATGGTTTTTGATAATGTATTCTTTTGTGCACGCTGATCACAGGTTGTGCCATTAAAGTTAAAGATTAAACTTTCGAAACACTGAAAGTCTGTCAGTAACCCTGTTTTCTTTTGGGTCTAGAGTGTCTATAAGCCCATTAAGGCATGTGCAGGCAAGAACACACAGAGCAAATATGTTGCCGGCAGGGAAAGGGACTAGGGTAATGCAAGGTAATCATTGACACAGCAAAACTGTTGACATTTCCATGCACATAAAAAAAAGAACAGCCTGCACTCTGAGAGGGTGCATACCCATGCATGAATGTCAGGATATCATCTTAAAACAATTCACTTAAATGCCTGTCACTCAACACTCCAAAAAAAGAAATTGTGACTGTCTGCTTTTGCCGCGTAAGCACTCTCAAGGACGCTCATTCCACATGTGGCACTTTCCGTTTAGCTGTAGGTGTTTAGTACACAAGCAAACACATCTTTTAACACCAAATCCTCAAGTGAAACTGAGCGTATGGTGTCCAAGTCAGGTGCTTTTTGCATTGGAGCTCCTCTCACTGGTGACTATAAACACCATTGTCTGCTCAAGCATATACAGCAAGGAGGATCCTTTCGTTAAAGGGAAAACACACACACACACAGCTCCACTCCCTGCTCTGAATTTCCTGCTGTTTCTCATTCTTCGCAGGTCAAAGGGATTTTCTGTGAAAGCTGCACGTCCCACCACACAGTCATCATGGATAAGGCAACAAAAGGTGAGTTATCCACAGTTGATGACATGTATGTGGCACGGCTGTCTCCCCTCAGATCAGAAGGGCTTTTCACTTTCAGTTTCATTTTGTGAATAAATATTATCATGAATTCAGTATAAATGCTTATCATATCTGAATTAAGGATGTGCACATGGCGTCTTCGGCCTCTGCTTCTTTGCCCGTTTGGATTAATTAGAAATATTGTGATTATTATAGTGCTGGTATCCAATTATTGTTATCATTAGTGTTATTATTCTGATCATGAAATCTGCCTTCCTATGCATGGAAATAAACCAAACTTTGCATATAGGTCCAGTCATATGCCTAACGCTTAACTAGAATATGGGGCTTATAGTCCTGATGGTGACGTTGCAGCAACCGTCTACATTTTAAAACTTTAAAAACTGATAACAAATCAGCCATATGTGCTACAGCTTTGCAACTTTCCCCAAAATGTGGCCCCAGTCGAGGAGAAATGTTTATATCTTTGACCTGCAGGAATTATTAAGTCCTTCACTTTGTTTTCTACAAAAACTGTAAACCTAATTAAACCTAACCCCACCCATATTTTTCACTCAGCCGACACACAGCTCTCTGCACAGCATCTTCGGGCTGTCCTGCACAAACAATCAAGCCGGGTTTTTGAAATATCAAAAAAATGGAGCCCACAGTGCATCAAAAATGTTTTGTTGTAAACAGTAGCTACTGTGAATTCTCGCCAAACAATGTGCATGAAAACATGGGACATCATTTTCATGTCATGGTGGAGGTAGTTTTGTAAATCTCAGAACTGCATCTCAAATTTCAGTATTATGTTGATCTGTTCTGTACGACATCTATTGCACGTCTGTCCGTCCTGGAAGAGGGATCCCTCCTCAGTTGCTCTTCCTGAGGTTTCTACCAATTTTTCCCCTGTTAAAAGGGTTTTTTTTGGGGAGTTTTTCCTCATCAGCTGCGAGGGTCCAAGGACAGAGGGATGTCGTATGCTGTAAAGCCCTGTGAGAAAAATTGTGATTTGTGATATTGGGCTTTATAAATAAAACTGAACGGATATTGAATTGAAGAACAGAATTTTGAATTCTATCAACATGTAAACTATTACAGTCAATGGTGATAAGAGCATGTTTAAACATGAGTTTGTCACTTATGGGGTAATCAGTCTTTGTAAAAACATAGCACAGACCTCTCTATGTTGTCTAGAGCAATAGTTCTCAAACTTGTTATGCCCAAGGCACACCTGTATTTTTATCTGTGCACAACAGCCACTATAACATGTGTTATCAGTCATATCACAGCATAAATGTTGGTTTTTATTTACTAATATCAAGTAACAATTGACAACAAACTACTACTCGTAAAATATTTATGAACAAAATTATTCAAGAATTCATTTTAAACATTCTAAAATTACATCAAAGCACCGATAACACATCTAAACAAGAATTAATGTAAAATAACATAAGCTAATGTAATGTGTCCCCTACATGAATGGCAACAAGTCGGTTCTCTGTGACCTTTTTTTACTATTTACTTTATTATTATTATTTTTTAGCTAGAGTTTGCCTCTTTATTAGGAAATGGGGGTGCACAACATACTAATACAGTCAATTAAAAATGCATTCATAACTTTTTGTATAGGCCCAGTTGAATATTGCAGTAATAATGTTTGGTTATCACAAAATCCCACGGTACACTGGGACTGACATCACGGCACACCATTTGAGAACCACTGGTCTCGAAGAAGTACAAACATTATTGGAAATTTGTCTTGTTAACTGCATGTTACACTCTAATTTGAAATGAGCCTCTACATGCAACCCTGGTGATTGTTGAAGTCATAGTGTGAAGCCAATCTGTGGTTTCTCATTTGGCAACAAGATCGTGACTCGCCCTGGGTGTCTCAGGTTGTGAGTTGGTAAACAACCTCCCGAGGCATGGGCCTGTTTTTAAAGCTATAGTGTCGACTTGTCATAGTAGGAAAAGCACGGGTGTTCCTTATAACACGACGATGACTCTGTTCATTCAAGTTCTTTCAGTGACGGCGTCAGTAAGCAAGCATGCAGGATACAAGAATCCTCAAATCAAAGCAGCTAAATGGAATTCAGCCATCATTAATTTCATTATTTACACTTGTGCTGTCAAAGTGTCCTCCGGGGAGAAGGGCCTATTGTGCCGCATGGATTAGAGACAGATGATTTAAGACAAGATATTTTTAATTAAAGACGTTTTAAATAGATATGGTCCAAGTGGTTCAGCTGACAGAACCTCCTGTGCTCCTTATTCTCCTCCTTTTTCGACTTCCTCCTCAAAACACCAAGCCCCAATCATTCATTAAGAATTTATTTTTCTTATTCTTCTTATTTAATTATTGCTGTTTTCCTTTATGCTGCTCTTTATGATAATGGAGCCAGGAGTCATGGTTGGTTTGTAGTTCTGCTTGAAACTCCTTCCTTGACAGTTTCCTTTTTAATTGGTTGTCATTAATTAATTAGCATAGATCACACCGCATGGAGGATATATATTAATATAAGTGCTCATACAATTTCTGTAGAAATATTTATATCTACCCTTCATTTCGTTGCATTTCGGCCTCATTATTGCTTAACACTGTAACCAGCTGTTAACAGGTTCCTGTACCTTTATTGGCTGAGTGCTGTTGTTAGGCTGGGTGGTGACAAGGATTTCATTATAATTGTAAGAGATTAGTTAACTGTTTTTCTATTAATTTCTCATTAATGTTTCGACTCTTATGTTGCCAGTGAGACGTCATCTAGCCATCATTTATTCATTTGTAATAATGTAATGACAAGCGTTGTTTCTAAAGCGATTGACATATATATCTATTAAGTTTACAGTTTAATGTAACCTGTGCTATGGCCTATACGCTAAACACTATAGAGTATTTGATAAATAGCGCCCTTGCCACTTATGTTCAAGGGCTCAAGTTTTACTCCCTGATTTCCTCTGAAAATGTAAATGCTCACCTTATTAATGCTTAAATGAACATGTTTGCACTTGCACTGTCATGTCAGTTAAGTTCAGCGTTATTGAGCTGAAATAAGAAAAACCTGTTTGCCTCTAATCAAGAACATTGTCAGTAATGATTCCAGTGTATCCAGAGATCCAGTTTTCTCAGTAATTCTTTGACCGGGTGCGTCAAATTATCTTTTAACTTGCGGCTGCTTGTGATGTTTTTACTTGGAAAAGATTCAGTGGTTATCAATATTAGATATGTTTATTTGAACGCAACATGTAAAACTAATAATCCATTCCATTGTCTTGTTTTTTTTGGTTTTCAATCTCCTTTCAGATAATATTTACGCATATGCGCTGTCAAAGACGCTGACAAAAGTTTTGTCGCCTGCAACTGTAGGCCTCTACTCTTCATGTCAGAATCGAATTAACATGATCCTCGAACAAATGGAAGGTACGTAAACACTCCGTCCCCCAACATGTCATCTCATTTGTCTGCTGGATGAGACCTGCTTTAATAGACCACTTAAAGCCTGATGACAGTGTCTACAGTACGTGGGTTGGAAGTACAGCATATTATAAGGTCTTAAAAATTCATATGTTGGCACTAAATGTAAGAGCGGACAGTGCCTGATTAGAAGTGTCCACTTTAAACATGACTGAAGTGTGTGAAACAATAGTATGTTAACTGTAGAAACTGCACCTGTTGATGAAAAAATGCTGTGACAGCATGTGTTAATTCTTGCATGGACTTTGCCACTGCAGTCAGAAAATCAGAGCTACCTGTTGGCATGTGAATGAGCTGTGCACCACCTCAGAGCTGGCTCACGCTCTAATGACTTTTTCCACAACTGACTGATTGAAAAGTGGATGTTGTATTTCTGCTCTGCACGCCTCCAGGGGGTCTCTGTGTCCTTAAGTACACATACCATAACTCTCACGTTGCACATACAGCACAGTGCATTTGGAAAGTATTAGAGGCCTGTCACCGTTTCACATTTTGTCATGCTCCAGCTTTATGCACAAATCATTTTAATTCATTTCCCCCTCTCATCAATCTACACAATACTCTATAATGACAAAGCAAAAAAAGGGGTTTCAGAACCAAGAGATACGATCCTGATCCACAAATTGGGATATGGATTCAGTCATCCAATCCTACCTCGAGTCCAGATCAAATGTTGTTCTTGGGTATTTCAAAACTCTAAGGTGGAGGTCTAGTACTGAAATAGTAGGTGCTCGTTTGCGGCTATGGAGTGAGAGTACGGGCAACAGGATGTTGTCTGCAGTGCACCTGACGGCTTCTGAACAATTATAATTGGACAAACAAAAGCACTAATGTCAGAAACAAACAAATAACTGGAATAACCACCTCATGGTTGTTTGCCTCCGCATCAAACTGCAACAACAGTTTACATCCATGTCTGTCCAGACTCATATGTAGTCATGGCCGTTGACAATGCTTCAAATATGGATGTAGCTACACATTCTAAAACAGTGGCTCCCAACTGATGGGTCGCGGTCCAAAAGTGGGTCAAGGGTCCATTCTGAGAGGACCACAAGTGACTCAGGAACATTTCAAGTTTGTAAAAAACACACTTCCTGCTGTAGAGTGAGTGATTAATGGACAGCTACTTGCGAGAGACAGCAAACTAGCTCAATGACATGGCCAAAAGCAAGTACAATGCTGAATATATTAAACTCCTTGGATCTTGAACTAATGACTAAGGAGAAATCTGGACCCTGTGGCTGGACCAGCTGGGAACCACTGTATTCCCTATACAGACTCTACATTCAATGAATGTAGAGTCTGTAGGCAAACCCCGGAGATCTTGCCTCCGGAAGAAGAGTGGATGAGCCCTGGTTTCCGGTTGTAGGCTGTTTGTAGTCCGCGTGATATTGACCAATCACATTTGAGCCGACTGCAGTTGTTGCCAGGTTAAACGGTCCTTGCAGTGAACTAACAAGGCTGAATATAATTGGCGTCACTGCAAACTCTGAATCCATCGCAATGGTTCAGCATATTTACTTATATATAAACGGAAGTTGGAAACGGAAATTCGCCTCCTTCGCCCAAATCGAACCAGAATGCCAAAAAATCGGGGGTCTGCCCCCAGAGGCTGTATCGCCGTCTGCCGGAAGTCAGATGTCGAATACAGCTGATGGGTTCTGAGAATGGGAACCACTGTTCTAAAACATGGATCATTCACACACATCTTCAACCCAGCAGTACAGAAGATCAGCACCCAAGGTAGACACCTGAGATTAGCGTCACCAGTTTAGTTTCTGACCAAATGTCTTCTCTTCTGTTCCTGAGTTACGGCGTTAAATAGTGGGCAGAAAAGTGTTTTTGCAGAACATGATGATGCCACAGTGAAGCTGAACATTCATCACTCTTGAGATATGGCCAAAAACATGTTGTCTGAGGTCACACTGACCTTAACCTTTGACCTCTACCAAAACCGACTCATCATTGTGTCCAAGTGGGCGTTTGTGCCAAATTTGAGGAAATTCCCTCAAGGCCTTACTGAGATATGAGAGTGAAACAGGTGCGAGGTCACAACGATCTCGACTTTTGACCACCCAAACTGAATCAGTTCATCCTTGAGTCCAAATAAATATTGTGCCAAATTTGAATTTATTTCCCTGTGGCATTCTTGAGATGTCGAAAACACATAACAGCATAAAAACAGCTCAGATTAACAAACATACACAGGAAGCTACAGAAGGCAGTTTATGTTGCAGGTAAGTCGCAGGTTCAGAAAACTCTTTATAAAATGACTGAAGAAGAATCAGGTCGAAGATATTTCAAATAGAGCTGCCAGACTTTGTAGAACTCGTCTGCTTCGAGTAAGATATTCCAAATGAATCAGCTCAAATATAATTTTACACCAACCCTTAACAGATGTACCTTATCACTAGTCCATATAATTATAATTACCATTATAATACATGTTATTCTAGGAGCAAAAGTAAGAATGTTAAATACCTCTTTGCTACCTACAGTAGTTATATTTCTACTTGGGATGCCCAGAATCAAGGGCTTGGATCCATTACTAAATCTCTTTCTATCACGTAGCATTTCAGACCAATACTTCTGAAATTTACGACATGACCAAAGGCAATGGGTTATGGTACCTATTTCGGTTTTACATTTTTACAAACACAGACACAAAAGAAAGGGGTTAAAAGAATGCCTGGGATTATATGTATTCTCTGTATGATTCTGAACATTTGTTCAAGTACAGATGGATATCTTTTGGGTGTAACTCCAAAAACCCTCCTGTCTCCTCTTAAGGGGTTACTGACAATTCTTTCTCCCACACACCTTTAATCCCCTGTGTATTAGTAGGAGACATGCCGCACATTATGTCATAAGACAAACTGAGAGTCACCCTCCCTGGTTGTTGAAACAGCGTTTCCTCAATAGCAGATATCTCAAGATGATCTAGTGGTCTCCGTAAGATGATGCCCTAAAAATCTTGTTCTGTGAGATGGTACTTCTTTATTACTTGAAAAAGTAAGTCTCCCAGTTTGATCATACCTTTGTATTCCAACTGACAGAGGGCAGGATCCAATGTTCCTGGCAAAAATTCAGGATTGTTAACTATTGGGGTAAATATGGAAGTTGATTTGAACCTCATCTCCAAACAGCAGGTTGATCGTCATGCTTTCAAAGCATTGACTGTTATCGGATTGGCACTGTTATAGCTTAAGTTTTTAAAATACTTAAAAAAATAATAAATCTTGAAATCTGCATTTCGATGAAGATGATTCAATGTCCAGCCAAATGTATTTAGACTTCTAACTCTGTACTTAGTGGAAGCACCTTTGGCAGCAATTACAACCTCGAGTGTTCTTCCTCCAGACGTTGGCACTTAGAACCGAGGCCAAACTGTTCAACCTTGGTTTCATCAGATCAAAGAATCTTGTTTCTCAGAGTCTAAGAGTCCTTAAGGTGTTTTTTGCAAACTCCAAGCCCGGCTTTCATGCGTCTTTCACAGAGGAAAAGCTTCCATGTAGCTATTTTCATAAACCCCAGATCAGTGGGGTTCTGGAAGTCTCTCCCTGTCGCTACATAAAATCAATGGAGCTCAGCCAGAGTGACCATCAGGTTCTTGGTCACCTCTCTTACAAAGGACTTTCCTGCCACAATAGCTCAGTTGTTCCACGCTTCTTCCATTGTGACACTGTGCTCATGGGAACCTTCAATGCAGCAGATGATTTTTTTTTTTTTTTTTGTAGCCTTCCTCACATCTGTGCCTCGACACAATCCTGTCTCTGAACACTGCAGGCAGTTCCTTCAACCTCATGGCTTGCTTTTTGCTCTGATCTGCATTATCAGCTGTGAGACCATATATAGACATACATAGACGGGTGGACTCCAACCAAGGTGTGGAAACATCTCTAAGGTGATCAAGAGAAATGGGAGGCACCTGAGTGTCGCAAAAAAATTACAATATTCTGCTTTTACTTTGTCATTTTGGAGGAATACTTTTTGAATGCACTGTAGTTTATATCCCAGCTCAAGGTGTGTTCCCATCACACACCTCATATAGTAGGCCAAACACATTTATGTCGTATAGGATGTATAGTAAACAATGTTAATCACATGGGTTTGTCTTAAACAAACAGTGTGCTCTTTTCAGAGGTTCTACATAATACTCTGTCCAAACAACCACACTCCGTACCATTTACACTAATTTTCATAAACGAAAAACAAGTGCCACCTTGAACTTTAAGGATAAAAAGCACATATTTGAAAGAGAAATACACAAAACAACAATAAATCACAGAGTAGGAGACATCAGAATTCCACAAGCGAGTACACGGTCACCTTGGACACTAAATATGTGAAGACTCAAATGTGAAAATACAGGTTTCTATTTTAAAGACGAGTGACATTGAACAGAGTGAATGGAGCATGTGCTACTCTAGTGAAGGGCTCCGATTGAAAAGACAAGTGTAAGGTTGTTTCTTTGTGTTACCCAGAAGGTCTCGCAGTATAGGGCTGTCGTAATGATTTTTTTTTCAACCTTGGCAGAGGGCTGGACCAGGCTTGATGTTCACACGTGTCCATACAATAATAAAGCTTTAAAAGGATTGCAAGCCAGATAGTCATTCACCTACTCTACATATATTATCATGCTGGTTGCTGTGACTTGATTGATTGAAAAAGCAGTCATTTGAATATGAAATAGGCCTAAGTATTTCTGCAGAAAGGTCAGGGTTTTAATGTTCCCTGGAAAGTTTTGGGTTTAGCGCCATGGCCAGGACATTAGGGCTGACCTTCGAATCCATTTATGGACATTCAAAGCTTCGGAGCTCAGAACGAATTTAATTCGAAGCATTCGACAACAGGGTGGGGGGTGGGGGGGGGGGGGGGGGGGGGGTTAAAAAATTTTAAAAATATGCCGAAAACGTAGTTTCTTCCAACACTAGAATTACGATAAAAATATTCACAAACGAAAAAACACTAATGGTCGGTGATAAGTAGTCTTTAACTTTTGATTGAACACTAAATTAAAACCCTCGGCGCACACTGCAGCACAATCAAACAGATGCGCAACTCAGAGCATCAGAAGTGTCTCTGACACCAGACTCAGAGCAGACCGGTGGAACTGGAAAATGCATATTAGGCCTCCTAGTCACTACTTACGTTTTTCAAGTGAGTTGTGATATGCCAATTGCTTTTGGCAAATCTGGCACTCTGCTTTCTGGGGGTTTTCGGGGCATATTTTAAAGTGCAACCACACATCTGATGACCTTTTGGACATGTCTGCCAGCTCTGAGTGCGCTCGTTGTCAGTATTGGACTGGTGGGGGTTAGTGTTGCGTTTAAGGCCTCCCCCCAAAAAATGGGAAAAAAAGCGCCGAAGCTTCAATTTTTTTTTCAATCGAATCCCGTGCCATCAAACGAAGCTTTGAAGCTTCGAATTTTTTGGGTCAGCCCTACAGGACATATTATCAGCATTGGTGAGAGCCGAATAAATTAAGCAAAGGACATAAGTCCAAGCCAACGACATGTTGTTTTACCTGTCTTGATGTCTCTCTACCTTTATTGAAATTGTTTATCCTTACATGTACCCCAACCAGCTAAATACTGTATCCCAAATGTAAATTTCATCAATGTTTTGTGTCTCCTCAGCGTGCACGAAGCAGGAATCATTAAGGATAGAGCGGGAAAGCAAAGGAAGATACAGACCTCGCCCAGTCCCGCCTTCATTTTCTGGCTTTCTCGCACTCATTGGCCGAATGCTCTTCTACAACCCCATTTGGACAAAGGAGAACCAGCACCACCGTAACATCAGGTTCATTTATGTACAGTTTAGTGCCTGGCATTTTGCAGGCAGTGACCTGCTTTGGGCCGGCTTGGCCATACGGCTGCTTCAAGCAATGCAGATAAACTTTGGGAAGTTACAGCTTGTCGTCTACCGTGTGGCTCAATATGACGAGGAAGACGAAGTCAAGAAGAAGGTTTGTGAATTGCTTTAACTTTTCTTAGTTATTAAGTCATGTTAGTGCAATATTTTAATTCAAGTAAAAGCACAGTTACTCGTGTAAATATGTACTGCGATAAAGGTAAAAAGTAGATCAGTGAAAATGTACTCTGAATAACCGTCACTGCTAGGGCTGGGCTACATGGAGAAAATCAAATATTACAATATTTTTGACCAAATACCTCGACATCAATATTGTGACAATATTGTAGGGTTGATTATTTGTGCTTTCACAAAATATTAACAACATTTATATTATACAATTCTAACAATTATCAACAATTATATTTTTGATAAATAATCAGTAATGTAGATAAAATGACTAATAGGTCAGGGTTGCCCCAACTAAGAATTTTCCTAGTCGACCAATAGTCATCATTTAGGGCCACGAGTCGACTAGTCGCCCACGTGTTTACGCTGTCGGCTAATGGGCATGTAGCTACTTCCATGTTTCAGATGATATACAGTACAGGCCAAAAGTTTGGACACACCTTCTCATTCAATGCATTTTCTTTATTTTCATGACTATTTACATTGTAGATTCTCACTGAAGGCATCAAAACTATGAATGAACACATGTGGAGTTATGTACTTAACAAAAAAAGGTGAAATAACTGAAAACATGTTTTATATTCTAGTTTCTTCAAAATAGCCACCCTTTGCTCTGATTACTGCTTTGCACACTCTTGGCATTCTCTCCATGAGCTTCAAGAGGTAGTCACCTGAAATGGTTTTCCAACAGTCTTGAAGGAGTTCCCAGAGGTGTTTAGCACTTGTTGGCCCCTTTGCCTTCACTCTGCGGTCCAGCTCACCCCAAACCATCTCGATTGGGTTCAGGTCCGGTGACTGTGGAGGCCAGGTCATCTGCCGCAGCACTCCATCACTCTCCTTCTTGGTCAAATAGCCCTTACACAGCCTGGAGGTGTTTTTGGGGTCATTGTCCTGTTGAAAAATAAATGATCGTCCAACTAAACGCAAACCGGATGGGATGGCATGTCGCTGCAGGATGCTGTGGTAGCCATGCTGGTTCAGTGTGCCTTCAATTTTGAATAAATCCCCAACAGTGTCACCAGCAAAACACCCCCACACCATCACACCTCCTCCTCCATGCTTCACAGTGGGAACCAGGCATGTGGAATCCATCCGTTCACCTTTTCTGCGTCTCACAAAGACACGGCGGTTGGAACCAAAGATCTCAAATTTGGACTCATCAGACCAAAGCACAGATTTCCACTGGTCTAATGTCCATTCCTTGTGTTTCTTGGCCCAAACAAATCTCTTCTGCTTGTTGCCTCTCCTTAGCAGTGGTTTCCTAGCAGCTATTTGACCATGAAGGCCTGATTGGCGCAGTCTCCTCTTAACAGTTGTTCTAGAGATGGGTCTGCTGCTAGAACTCTGTGTGGCATTCATCTGGTCTCTGATCTGAGCTGCTGTTAACTTGCGATTTCTGAGGCTGGTGACTCGGATGAACTTATCCTCAGAAGCAGAGGTGACTCTTGGTCTTCCTTTCCTGGGTCGGTCCTCATGTGTGCCAGTGCCGTTGTAGCGCTTGATGGTTTTTGCGACTCCACTTGGGGACACATTTAAAGTTTTTGCAATTTTCCGGACTGACTGACCTTCATTTCTTAAAGTAATGATGGCCACTCGTTTTTCTTTAGTTAGCTGATTGGTTCTTGCCATAATATGAATTTTAACAGTTGTCCAATAGGGCTGTCGGCTGTGTATTAACCTGACTTCTGCACAACACAACTGATGGTCCCAACCCCATTGATAAAGCAAGAAATTCCACTAATTAACCCTGATAAGGCACACCTGTGAAGTGAAAACCATTTCAGGTGACTACCTCTTGAAGCTCATTGAGAGAATGCCAAGAGTGTGCAAAGCAGTAATCAGAGCAAAGGGTGGCTATTTTGAAGAAACTAGAATATAAAACATGTTTTCAGTTATTTCACCTTTTTTTGTTAAGTACATAACTCCACATGTGTTCATTCATAGTTTTGATGCCTTCAGTGAGAATCTACAATGTAAATAGTCATGAAAATAAAGAAAACGCATTGAATGAGAAGGTGTGTCCAAACTTTTGGCCTGTACTGTATCATGTTTGTAGTCGAAGAATGATAGGCAAACGCCAAACAGCTGTAGAGTTTACATATCACCTTGGGTTCGTCCTTCACCTTCTCAAAACGATCCCACACTTTGGATTTCCTGCCCAACGTGTTATTAACTAGCCTGTGGAATAACCGCAGGTACCAGCCCTGGAAATTAGGGACCGTACACATTCTGCATCCTTAACTGCTTGGAAAATGTGAGGTCAGGCACTGGATGTTACTCTTGCGCCTTTTCTGTGCCAGCTTGCTAAGCAACCCTAGCAAGCACCTTATAGCCTATTTACATGAAATCCTGAGTGCAGGGCTGATCTTCTTCCAGCCGCTGTTTTTAAGTGTGTAGGCCTATTGACTGTGGGACAGATGTAAAGCTCTGGGTAGCCCTGCACTAACATGATCAACTTTTCCATGTTTATCAGACTAAATATTTATGGAAGAAGGGAAATATATCTGTCAGCTATGATTGGTTTGTAACATGACTCTTGTCTGACTGCTGAGCGTGGCCTCTTCCTGTGTCTGTCCTTTCAAATTAAATTCCCACATGGTCCAGTCATATAGGTTTTGATTTGTTTTGACAAGGCGCAGCTCCTAATAGAGTTTCAGGTTTGTTTGTTTTTCTGCGACTAAGTGACCAATTAAATCTTGCCGACTAATGGCCTGGACAATGGACAAACTTTTGGTCGACCATTAGGGGGCAGCCCTACCAAAATCTGAGACAATATTTAGTCACATATCATGATATTGAGATATACTGATATATTGCCCAGCCTTGGTTACTGCATTACATTTCAAAGGGGAAAAGGGGGAGGGGGGGTGTATGATATGATGATGTTATAAGACGGACCTATTAAATCATATAGCTAAAAAAAGTTGTCAACACACACATCACACCACAGAGCCCCTCTGTCCAAAGCTACAGGCATGTTCTGTAGAGAACACTTTGCAGCCTTTGCACACAGCTAATTATCACCCAGACAATAATACAAACGTGGCCGACAACAGAAAAGAGCTACAGACACCTCGGCGGGTGCAAAAAGAAATATGAAGCATCATAAATTAAAAGTGATACTTAATGCAGAATCTGTGGAATCAACAGCAGAATAAAACATCCCCGAGGCAGGCGAGAGCTGCAGAGTTTTTGCACAAACGGTGGCTCGAGAGTTAGAGGCGTCTTACAATCGTAAAGGCTCTGACATACTTTGAATGAGTGTGCTGCTGCTCACCTGGCAGATGTCATGCTGTGTGTCACCTGTTCTCCTCAGTTTGCACAAGCTTCAACTCCGGTCGTTCATCCTCACAGCATCCACTCGGCCTCTCTCTGTCCCACTAAAACCAGTCCCAGTCTCTCTGTCAGGAATTGTTGTCTAAAATCAGCAGAAAGTACTCACACACCTCATCTAAGGTGACGCTGCTCAGTAAATGTAAAAGACACGCTGGACAAATCACCATCAGCGACACAGAGAGTATAGACGAATCAAGAGAGACACCCGCCCCTCTTTTTTTGTCAAACTCATACCAAACTCAGATTAAACAGTAAAAATTGGCAGTGGTGATCAAATATGTACCAAGATTATGTTACTATAACACTTATTTCTCGCCTAACATGTCCTCAGAAACATATTTTAGTGCTCTTTTTGGCTGTAATATGACTATTTATAAACAGGAAGCGGGCGCCATACTGTTTCCTGTATTGTAAAAACAGAAATACTGAGATCAAACCGTAAAAATAAGCAGTGCTGACAAAAGATGAACCAGGATTATGTTACTGCGTTGCCTATTTCTCACCTCAAATGTTTTCAGAAACATATTTTAGTGCACTGTTTGGCCGTAATACGACAACTTGTGAACAGGAAGCGGGCGCCATACTGTTTCCTGTATTGTAAAAACGGAAAGACTGAGATCAAACAGTAAAAATAAGCAGTGCTGACAAAAGATGAACCAGGATTATGTTACTGTGTTGCCTATTTCTCGCCTCAGATGTTTTCAGAAACATATTTTAGTGCTCTGTTTGGCCGTAATACCACCATTTGTAAACAGGAAGTGGGCGCCATACCGTTTCCTGTATTGTGAAAATGGAGGCCGAAAAATACTGAAATCAAACTAAGCAGTGTTGACAAAAAATGAACCAGGATTATGTTGCCTATTTTCCACCTCAAATGTTTTAAGAAACATATTTTAGCTAACTGTTAAACTAGCGGCTGGCTAGTTTGTTACTAGCCAGCTGCCATATTATTATTTTTTTAATCAGTCCCTATTTAAACAACACTGTAAAAATGACTCAGTATACAGTTGATAGTATACAAACATCCAGGGGGATAACATACTGTACAAAGAGTGTCTTAATAGCCTTTTTTTTCGTCGAATCACAGAGCAGTTTCATTTAGTGATTAATATCATTCAGAAATACACCAATATGAGCTTTTTTATTGCTAAACTTACATTTATGGATAAAATACTTTGCCAGAATCATCGCCAATTATCTAATAGTTGTTACTGACATTTCAGTCCGTACCAAAGTTGTGGACCAATCAACAAATTGGGGACTGGCATTGCTATCTATAGAGAATGAGACTAAAAACACAGCCTTGGCATCTAACTTGCTTCTCGTTTGCTTTATGTTTTGTTTTTAAAATTCAGATAGTGGAGGATGGTCCTAACCATTGGCGGTCCAAAAAGATCTGCTGCTGCCCTCTGTGGTTTTTTGTCCTGTCCATTATTGCGATACCAGTTTTCATCCTGATATTCTTTTTGACTGTTATCGTTCCCCAACAAGAGATCCAAACAAACGGGACAGTGACTTCTTCAAAAGGCCAAACAGATGTGCTGCATGGCCTGCTCATTGCCGTGTTAGGAGTCCCTGCAGCATCCGCACTGAGGTTTGTTTTTATGATGGCTAAGAACCTCATCGTAAACCTGGATCTGAACATCACGAAGGGGATGGACAATGAGAAGGTAAGCTGCCAACTGGGCTTCATGAACCAAGTGAGGAAAGAAATGTGGTTTCTGTCTCGATTTATCCAGTTTATGGAGGTGTTTGAGAGGAGGAGGATCCGTGTGGTACTGAAGATCACCAATCTGGACCGCTGCCCCCCCAAGAAAATGGTTGCAGTTCTGGATGCAGTCAACATTCTGCTTTCAGAAGAGGAAAGTCCGTATATTTCCATTCTGGCCGTCAACCCAGATATTGTTGTGCAGAAAGTGAACTTTGCAGATGGCTGCTTCAGCAAACAAGACAGAGCTTATGCACTGTTGAACCAAATCGTGACTCTGGCCTTCACAGTCCCACCACTGTGCGATGATTCAAAACAGAGTTTATTTCAAAGCCTCACTAGCAGTTCAAAAACCCCTCGGAACATAAGCATGAATGTACTTAAACATAGAACTGGGAGCCTTGTAAAGACATCTTCCTCAGATTTATTTGGAGTGGAGATTGCACATGGAACTAAAGAGGCATATCCACTGATGGATAAGCCTAAAACTGCACTAGCAGTGGATGTAAACGAGGAGGAGGTAGAGAATCTGGTTAGGAGCATCCTGACCAGCAACAATACAAAGCTGAGCAAGTATATGGTAGAGGATGCCATGTCTATGAGGAGGGCGATCAACTCCATTCGAGTAACTGTGATAATCTTGAAGGCCTTGAAGCAAGAGCTTCCTGAACCAGAATACATTGCAGCATGGGTGATCCTGGCCAATCAGTGGCCTTGCCGCCTCAGCTGGATCATCCAGTGCGTGGAAGACACTCAGCAGAGAGCAGGTACTGATGGTATCAATGAAGCCAATGCTGATGATTCAAAGACCTTGTGGAAAGTCTTCAGTGAGTCCAGGGCAGAGCTGTATGTGATGAGCGGACATATCGAGGACCTCCTCGAGCAGGATGGAGATCCTGAGATGTTTGAAAGACTTCTCATGGTAGATTTCCAATTCACTGTAAAAGACTTGAAGACATATGAAGTGGCCATGGTGAACCTGGACTATTCAATGAGGAAGGAGCTGGCTTACATCAGAGGGACAGCCAGGCTGAAAGATTCTGGTTGGATGAGGGACCTAGCTCCTCTGCCAATCACAACCATCATCAAAATGAACACAGAGGATGTGTGCAAAGAGGTAAGATAGACCGTACTTCTTTAAAGTTATTTAAACAACTTTAAGATTTCAATTCTGGTTGATCTGACAACACCAATGGTTACCCGTGGTAGCAAATTGCAGTGCAACACTTCCTGAGCAGCTACTTAATCAGAAATACTACAGTAGAACAACTGGTGTATCTGTTTAAAGTTCAGCCAAACAAATTCACGTTGTTTGAATGAAGATGTCAGTCAAATACTTGTTTGCATCATACCTGCTGAAACTGTCACTATATTCTGAAAAAGTACACGAGACGGTTTGTAAAAAATAAATCACATCCCTCCTCTTCTTCCTACTGCCTCTAATGGCATTCACTAGAATCACAGCAGTGCATCCAAAAACAGCCAATCAGAGCCAAAAAGTCTTTAAAGCAGCTATTAGTCAAACTGTCGAACTAAGCAGCACTGATTGAGTCAAGATTGTGTTACTATATTGCCTAAAATGTTTTCAGGAACTTATTTCAGTGTACTGTTTAGCTGTAAAATGAGAACACAACCTCCTCGGCTCTGATTGGTTGTTCTCATTCACATGCAACAAGGCTATTAAAAGCGTTACAAGGCAACAGAGTAGGTTGAGGAGTATGCTTTTTTTCACAGATTGTCTGTAGCATTTATATCTGTGTGAATATAGTGACAGTTATGAAAAAAATATGAAAAAAATATTTTTTTTTAAAAAAGTTACCAACTACAGCTTTAATACAGCTGCAGATGTGGACATGGGTGTATGAGCAGTTAGCAGTCAGTTATCAGTGAGATAAATTTACAAACATTAAAGCTGAATTACATGCCACATCTTTTCCTGTGAATCCCTTGTGCATAGGTATCCAATTTTGATGAAGCACAGGAATGGCGGACCCCGCCACTTACAATGAAAATTACTGTAAAGAAATGCATACACTGAATGTAAATACATTGAATTGTGTTTATTCACCTCACATGATATCAAAACTATGCCTGGACTCTCTCACAGGTGCAAAAGAAAAAGACAAATTCAGTCCTATCAGGAAAGATAAGGAACTAAATCATATTTCTCCTCTATGTTTATAATGCTTACATTTTCTTCTTTGTCCTAGTTGGGGAGAATGGAATTCCCCAGTAAGTATAGTGATATTGTGAGAAGCAATGACCTCCACGGTTCAGCACTGGTCTTCGGTGATGCAGATGACCTTAAAGCCCTCCTAGATATGACCTTTGGTGAATGGGCAACTTTCAGACTTCACTTCCTGGGTTTACCAACACGTCTCCGACCACAATACAGGAACATGTCACCGACCCCCTCTCAGCCTCAGCTGTCAGCAACTCCCCTCCATGTTCGACATCACTACATGAGTAACCCCAATCTAGTTAACAGCCACATGTAAGAATCCAATCCACTTCCAGTAAGTGCGTTATCCCTAAAAATATGATCTAACATTTGTTAACAATCTTTGTAGTAACAATACACAGCTTGTGCAGAGTGTGAAGGAGCTTGTTATAAACTCTTGTTGCTGCTTAGAAAATATTTAATCTCCTGCAACCATGTCAAATAACTATCACGTACATAGCTTAACTTAAAGGAGCTATATGTAAGAAATCTAAAGCAAATTGTCGTAAAATCATCCTAATATGTCACAGAGACTAAGGAATAATGTTCATATAACATACTGATCTCACCGACAACAATAGTACAGCCAAAATATTCGCATTTTATTTTAAAAAAAAAAATCAAATCATGTTTATGTTTTGAATTTGTGTTTTGGCCTGTTTTGCCACCCACCGCCGTCTACCAGTCACGCAGTCAGTAGAGTTTCAGCTTCAGTTACAGTTATGACTGAGCTACAATGGCTGATGGTGCGACTAAACCCAAACAACCTTGTTATGATTCCCAAAAACGCCAAGACAAAACTCGAGGCAAAGCGAGGGTCTATATAGGAGATGCTTTTGAACGGTGGAGACGGTTGAAAGCGGAGAAGAATTTGAAATCGGATGTCAAAGTGGCTTTTCTTCTCCTCAACAGGTAACATTAAGCTTTAGCCAAAGTTGGCTAACTAGCATCAGAGCTAGATGGGGATGGACATTTCGAATATTTTCACCTGTTATTCATTTTCGAATATACATTGTAACCCATGTGCAGGTGGGTCATCGACCCGACTGATTTTTTTGAGAAACAAACGTTAGCAGCACGGCAAGCAGCATTAGCAGTGTCCTGGTACATAGCATTAGCAGCCAGCTCCTCCTCAGCTGCATCCCAGCTGCAGCATTAGCAGCAGAGAAGCCGGACTTGTTCAAACGGTCCGCTGGAAAACCGAAGATCAAGGACGCGGTGACGCGGCCCTGCCACGGCCCGTGGGCAAACAAATCAGTCTCCAGCGTGCCACTGTCCAGCAACCTCGAATCTGTAGGGGAGGGGGGACGGACACAACTCGCGGCAGTATTTTGAATCTGAGTGCAGTAACCGCTTTGGCCACATTCTTACATACAGCACCTTTAAGGGAGACAAACCCAACAACGACAGCTGTAAGTCATACCCAAATGTCTAATTATGTGTATCAGCCTTAGTTGCCCTGATTGTGGGTTTGTGTTTTGCATGGATCACATTATCCTGTAATTTTTTTTTTTTTACAGCAACATTTCGGCATGTCATTTAGCTGCTTCAGTCTCAGGGCCCTGGTATTGTGCATGCTAGCTCACTGTCACACTTTGACAGCTGCACTGTGACACTTGAATATAATGGAGGTATTTGTAATATCACTCATAACACAAAGGCCTCTTGTGAGACAACACTTCATTTTTTCCTGTCGATGTGTCAATTAAGGGAAGGTGGAAAATTAAAGAGGATCGGGAGGATAATAAGCTGTCTAACATGCTACCTGAAAAAAAGACCAACGACTGTGTTAATATTTCTTTTAAAGTCATTATCAATACTAATTGAAATGTATTAAAACGTGTAACGTCTTTCAATCATCCTTTGCATGTGAACGAAGATATGTATCTTAAATTGAGGGGTGTTTCATCAGCGACTCAGAGTTTAATTCACTGTGAGAGTCAACAGGAGGCTCTTTCATGAACAAAATTTCAACTTGATTTTATGATTGTACTTGTTGCATGTTTTTGATTTCTTCTCATAGTTTTTTTTCACATTTTGGTTGGGCTGTAAGTTTTACTGTTACTTTGTTCTGGAATTAGTGAATGTTTATTAAAGGTGTGTGATGTGCCTGTGATGTGAATGCATGCTGCAAGTTTCAAAAGCCTTAGTCAAAGAATTTCAACTGCATGTTCAGGTTGTGGGAGTCCCTTTGATGCCTTTACAAAGGTGTATCTGGTATTTCATCGATTGAAATTCACTATAATGTGTTTGCAAATATTTAATTGATCCTTCAGAAGAAAATAATAACTTATTAATACTGTACATGTGCTGCACTAAACTGTAACCCTCCATTTCATGCAAATCAAAAACATGTAAATTCTGACAAATGAAATGCATGTGCAAGTGTCCCATAATAAAAATGCTCATCCAAGCACTTCTCCGTCTTTCTTAATACATTTGCCAGTTTACAAACAGCCGACGCAATGTGCTGACTCATTAATGTTATTTTTACATCAAAGTGTTCTCATGTTAAATAATCAGCTGAAGGTTCACTTCATCTGGATTCCTTTGAACTATCTCCCTCGGAAAGCTGCAAATGTTAAAGTGACTAAAAATATCAGGCTAACAAACTGGGCATTTACAGTACAAGCACTATTTCACTGACGGTGTACAGTACATGCTGAAGGTCTATCGGGCAACTTTAAAAGATGACTTTGCAGTCTTTCCAGTAACAGCAGATCTGATTTTTTTTAAACACTGGAGTTGAATTGAACAAAACAGTCATGGAGTAAATCTTTGAATAAAATATTTTCCTGGCAAGCCAGGGTTATAGAAAAGTGACAGGATGCCATTTGATATCATCACCATTTGATATTTATTTTACCCATATCCAGTGGATTCATAACACTTGCTGGTTTGCATACAACTTTGCTCACAGTGATAGCTCATTTTAAGTTTTTCTTTTAACATTTTCATGTTAGTAAGAAGAAACATCATCACAATATCCTCAAGAGCACAGTGGTTACGCCGTATTTATTCATACTGAGGTATAAAAGCTCAAAAGGTGAAAGGCTTTTCAGTGGATAGTCTAATTAAGATAGATGTACTAAGGCCTAACTGCATTATAACAGTATGTAAGTCACATATTAACCATTCTTTGCATTTTAAGACACATAGTTCATATAATCAAGGCACATGGGTAATTCAGTCTTTTGAAATTCAAGACCATTTTAGACATAACAGTTAGCAATCATGCTCATGGTTAAGTCGTAATAAACTGGGTCACCACATTCCCAGAGGAGAAAAACAAATTTGGACAATTTAGGAATGTTTAAAAAAAAAATTATGATTTGCTTATAAAAAATAAAAATAAAAAAAAAAACAAGCAAAAAGGCATCTGCTAATAGGCACCTTTATGACAACACCACAATGATATATATTTATATTTTCAAATGGATCCCAGATTTATATTACTAATATTAATGTACTGGTAATGCTGGGTCCTTATGTTGTTACGCAGCAGTTCTCCATCACAAACAGAAAAATACACCCAGGCTGTTTGGCCGGAGGCAGCTCACTTGCGTCCCAAGGCCTCGGCCAGCTTCTTGAGCCTCTTCTTCAGCTCCAGAGGAAACTTCTCGTAACACTTTTTACAGACAGGCTTCATGTCAAACTCAACAAACTTGTTCCTGCACAGAAGGAAAGAAAAACCATGTCAATACTAAATATGTAAACCGGTGACCAGTGACTCAGGCTAACCTTTCAGATTTCCGTCCTACCTGCATTATATTATCAAAATATTAACATCACTGCAGGTAAGTCACAATCTTTTTAATTCAAATTATATTAACATTAAAGCCATTTTTAGGAGGTAACACCTCATCCTTTATCCAGGAATTATCTTGGAACCAATGACATTATCATGCAGCTTTGTCCTTTAGTGCAAGGCAGCAAATAAACCAAATTAAAACCAAAAAAATAAAGCTTGAGTTTCTCATAAGGAGAGTTCAAATAATTAATAGATTAATGGCTTAAAGGGAACCTATTATGCTTTTCAGTGTTCTGTGGCTTATATAGAATGTTACAACAAGAGATGTTTATATTAAGCATTTAAGTTTCAAATAAACTTCAAACAAAACTGTATGTGAAAGTAATCCATGTGAGCAAAAACCTCAGGCTTCTGACCAGTCTGAATACTGTACAGCACTTTTTTCTTGGTTGCTGATGTTTCTCCCCATTTCAGATGATATTCCTGCTGGAACCGGTCGTGTTCAGAAGCTTAAATTAATGATTTTTCACATTAAAAGTGCCGCTATTCTCTGTTACAGTAATAGCCCAGCTGCAATGATGGTGTCAAAATGCGAGATCAAGGCTATTCAAAGAAGGCTGTGACACTCTCTATGACCCCATGGGAGCTGTGGGGTGTGACACGTGCAATGTAACTGCAGCTGTGATGTTGGAGGATTACAGCAGACTGCGCTAGAGATAAAGTGATGGTGTCCGCTCAGGTGGTCTTTGGGTACACTCGGCCAGTGAAGCCAATCAATCATCCATGTTCTATGATAGTGTCACAGCTATTAAGCCTTTCAGCAAGTGCAGCCCAGATTTCAGTGCATGTATGCCCCATTCGTATGACATAATATGACACCTTGACGTCTCCTCTTTTTAACCTCTTTGGTTAAGACCTGATAATGCTAACCAATCAGAGCAGACAGAAGGGGAGCTTAGGCCATGTTTACACGAAAACGATCCACTGAAAACAGAATCGTTTCTCATTTTCGTTTTGAAAAACGGACGGATGACGAGGTGGATTTACTACAGTAAATCTCCACTATGATGGAGAAGCATTGATAAATTCAATAGAGTGAGCAGCACAAGCAGAGCTCGAGAGTCCGCCATTGTTGTTGTGATGGTCGACTTTCTCACACATGCCTAGTGACCGGAAGCGTAATGCGCATGTGCGAAAAGTCTCCGTTTTCAGGAACTGCATATTGCAAGTTTACATGACAATGGAGATGGTGCCGTTTCCAAAAAATTGCATTCTGAAACCCGTTTTCAAAACGTTGTGTTTTCAGGCACCCAAAACGCCGCTGTTGTGTAAACGATTGGCCAAAACGCAACTAAAGTTTACCGTTTTCAGTTGAAATCGTTGTCGTATAAACGGAACCTTAAAGAGACAGGCGCTAAAACGGAGCCTTCTCAGACAGAGGGTGAACACTGAAGTCCCAGCATGGACATGATGGGGAAATTACAGTTTTTTGAACATTCAGGCATTCAAACATGTTCTCGTAGACACCTTAAAGTACAAGATTAAACCTGAAAATTAGCATGATAGGTCCTCTTTAAGTTGATTTTCATGTGAAAAATTAAAAAATATGTGGTGCCCTGAAAGCTCAACACAGTATAACTTAATAAAACACATGCAAATGACAACAAACACAAGCAAATGTAGAAAACATCTCAACCAATTTAAAAGAATATGCACAGAATATCTTTTGGTTTTAGACTTCTGACTGAACATTCATTCATTCATCATCTGTAACGGCTTATCTTGCTGGGGGTCGCAGGGGTGCTGGAGCCTATCCCAGCTGACATTGGGCGAGAGGCAGGCTACACCCTGGACAGGTCACCAGACTATCACAGATGCATCATGACTATCATGATGTATTAATTAAACAATACATCATGGTGTCACCTTAGAGTCACTAATAAGGGTTTTTTCCCATTTCCTGACATTTTTGTAGAAACAAACAACGAAAAAAATCGATTGATTAATCGATAATGAAAGTGACTGTTAGGTGCAGCCTTACTCATGAGCATCAATTGAACCTTTCTGTTAAAGCCAAACTTAAGTTTGATATAAATGTATACTTAACAGGTTTTGCACAAACGCCATTAACACACAACAACTGCAGGGTCTTGGTTTTACGTTCCAAAATAAATGACAAATAATGACATCATGCTTCACTGTCAAACAAAGAACACCACAGAAAAAGAAAAGGCAGAGATAGCACCAACCAACGGAAGGAGTGGAGAGTTGTAAAGAATATTAACTCTACAGACACACAGCAGGTTTTTTCTTGCGGTCTTTGGCATCACGCTCACGTCGAGCCAGGCGGCGTTTCAGCTCCTCAGGCATGCGCTCATAGCAGTGCTTGCACACCGGCTTCAAGTCAATTTCAACAAACTTATCTCTGAGTTACCACAGAAGTGAAGTCAAGCATGTAAAAGGAGAAATTGGAGGAAAGGGAGAGAAAAAGAGCCAAAGAGGGAAGAGTTGTAGCAGAAAAGTGAAATACACAAAGACAAGTGTTAAGACTGACACTAAAGTAGGGGGTTAAAAAGGAGTGTTGCAGACAACTGAGAGGAAATCAGCTGGAAGTATTGTGGACAATAAGAAGACGCTATTATTGAGCAGCATCACTTACTTGAGAGTGAGTTTTGTGTTGCAGGTGGAGCATGAGAAACAGCTGACACACCAGGCCTTGTTGAGAGCAGACACCACTGAAGGGGTCACAGGAGAAGAAAAGAAAATTATGAACACTTCAACGGTTGTTTGTTCAAGCGACATCTCATGAAAACCAATAAAAACACCGCTGTGAATATGTGCTTTATTATACCGATACTCACCATCGCCTTCAATCACACGGTTGCAGTGGTAGCACACATCGCCGAAGAGCTTGACAACAGATAAACAAGGAGATTGGGTTTTTATGCAGCAAGCATTACGATGTCTGTCATGTCCTCCAAAGCCATTATTTTACTTGGCTCTTTTATTTCTTACCTGGTTATAATGAGTCTCGCAGTAAGCCAACCCCTTCCTCTCATAATGCCGATGACCGAGGAACGGCTTCTCACACTTGGCACACACAAAATGCTGTAAACAAAAACAAATGTTGCTGAGGGAGTGGGGAGAACACCTCCTAATGAAGGCATGTGAAACTGACTAGAGGAGCAGGTGCCAACACAACTTGAATATTACATGAGCATTACATGAATGTTTACCAACTTAGAAATGTTTTTTAAAAAGTTATAGGCTTGACCTATGGAGAAATATTACTGTAGTTATCCTTTAGTGTTGTTTTTAAAATCACATTTAGCCCATCAGTGCGATGAAGACACCACTGTAATGTTCAGAGTTCCCATGGTGTTTTTAAATACTTCTAATTTTCTGGTGCCTGCCAGATAACAGTTCCTGAAGTGGTTAGATACAAAATTTATTTCGGCTAATGGCTGTCTTTAGTATTAAATTGACTGCTACACACTGCTGATAGCTTTGAGCTTTTTGAACAGTATAAAATTCAGCAGCCTCTAGACAGATGAATGCACAACTTGATCTGGTGCGCTCTGCCTCGGGAGAATTCATCTTTTTAAAAGTGCTCGCGTATCTCCTACTGCCTCCAATTAGCTCATTAACAGTGTTTTGGTACTAAAGTGGTTTATTTAATGAATTACATTTTGTTATGCACAAGCAATGGTAACTTAATGTAAAATTCATTAAAAAATGTTTTGCTTCTGTGTGAAGGCATCACATATAATATCAAATATAAAAAGGTGGTCAGCATGACGTTTGTCCACTATTATTAGATTGGGTCAGCAGTCCTTCTGAAGTCTACTCCCTTTACTCTTACGTGAAATGTGCAGAGGAATTTTACTTAAATTCCTCATGAAATGAAAAATACATTGCCCCAGTTTTAATCCCGTGTCTCTGTGTAAATTGATTATTCATATCTTGTTAAATGCCCAATATACGTCAAAAAATCTGTATCAAAGTCTTAAGTCAAGTCATTAAAAACCCTGTCTTTTCTCTTTCTGTAAAACAAGGTTAAACACTTTTAAATGTTTGATGGCTCATCCTGCACTCAGGGGCGTCAGACTTTATCATTTGTAGGTTGTAGTAGCTAACAGAGCAATGTGGAGAGATAGGAAGAGATGTGTGTTTGGATATCAGTGGACAAAACCTGACCGGCGTCTAATTCACTCATCTCCCTCATCCTTTTCCTGATCTAACAGCAAGAGAGGTGTGTGTGAAGCCAACAGTCCGCTCAGCAGCAGATTCCGCTGTAGCTCCTTATTGCCCTAAACTCTCTTTTTAGTGGTCTAATCAAATGCAAATGAGTTGAATTAAATTGCTCTTGTAGCTAAACACTGTTCAAATATTCTGTTTCACTGTGAATACTTCACAGTACAGCAACTAAGGACGCTCTTACTTCCATTTCACAGGAACTTTAAACACTTGTTATGCTCAGTTTAAGTTCTGGATGAATTAATGCCACATAATGTTACTTATTCTTAATTATTTCATTATGTTTGTGTTTAATGGCCCATTTTGTGTTCCTCTCTCTAGAAATTTGGACACATCAAATTTCCTAATCAGTTACACTTACTATTCCTTACTTCTTCTAAACAAATATCCAATCATAAACACAGTAAACACCAGAAGGCCTTGCTTTCTTGAGGAGGAGCAACCTCCCAAAGTAAACTAATTATAAATGTCTCATTTTTGTTGACAAACCTCCACATGCCACTGCTTGCCCATGGCATTGACAACACGCCCTTCGATGGGTCTCCTACAAGCGCCACAGATTGGTACACCCATCTTGTCGTGGCATGGCAAACAGAAGAGCTCTCCCTTCAGTTCCCTGGCTTCAGCTGTCAGTTCCTTGCTGTGGACAGAGAAACATGGAAAACACATTAAAAATAATTTCTCATGTGGCCCTGAAATATATTCTGAAGCTAAGAGTGTGTGGTTTTCTGTGCTCAACAGTGGAGTGTAGAGGTGAGACTGACCCACAGTTGTTGCAGTTGAAGTGGTCTGGGTGATAGGGGTCATTCTTAAAGATCAGCGGCTGCTCTTCAATGATGGCATGGCACTTCTGGCAGATGTATTTGCCCAGGCCACGAGCTTTCTCGCGGTTATGGCACGTGCGACACAGGTGCCTTAGGGAAATAGTGAAGAACAAAATTTAGGGGTGTCAAGAAAGTATAATAAGTATATAATAATATTTTGACATATTCTGTCACAGATACTCAAAATTTCATTATTTGTTAGAACGCAAAAGTGAGAGAGTCAGCAGTTTGACGTGTGTGTAACCACCTGTTTTACGGGCTGCCACAATTTTATATTAAGACTGTAATAAGATGGGATACTTACCTGCCAGCATTTTTGACAAACCCCACGTCTGCGAGCACAGCCTGGCAAATGTCACAGCAGAAGCAGTCAGGGTGCCAACTATTGTTCATGGCCTTAATGACACGACCGATGATGAACTCCCCTGAGGGAAAGGCATAAGTGAGAGATCAGTTTAGGGCAAGTCTAAGTTTGACGCTTCCAATATTTGTTGGGAGTGGATGCTATTTTTTGGGTACTGTACAGTAGTTCCTAATGAGCACTCCATTACGGAGTCCTAGTGTTACTAAAACGCACTACAGTGCTTCCTATAGTGTTCTCAAAGTGACACTTTAAAGCTGAATGCATTTAAATTGTCCATTTAATTTAATTAGAGCATGTCTACCTCTCCCTGGACACAGTCAAGCAGATTTAAATTAATCTTACATAGCACTAAAATGCATCTCGGGTGATGTAAAAACAAGTGGGAAGTTCTAAATAAAAGTTTGAACAGACTTAAAGATGAGTGAGGACACACTGGGATCTGATCTCTTCAACGGTCAGGGATGCTTACATCCACATATGTACCGCAGTGCAGTGGTTTCTAAACTGTGTGGGGAGACGTGGTGAAGGCTTAATTCTTTGGTATATACTGCTTGCTATGCATAAAGCCGTTTGTGAAAGATCTGCTGAATAACCATTGAGCAGACAACTCTCCAAAAGCAAAAGGGGGATTGACAAAAGATGTTCCAATGCCATTTTTTCCTTCCCGTGTCCCATGTCAGTCATGAAAAATACATGATTAATAATGGGGAAATTCCAGTGTAAGATGTTGCCAAATTGCTGACAGTTTGCTAACGGCTAACATTACACTGTTTACTGGAAATTAATTCTTCGTTGCCGCTCTAAAATGTTAGTTGACGTTGGCTGCACTGTACAACTTGCTGTGTAGGCTGTTGTTTTAGAGAGGTGAAGAACTGATTTCCACTAAAACTGCCATTGGTGCCACTGACAGGCACTTACATTCACATACTCACTCATACCCAATCCAGCATTTTAGGCAGTATCGGAGGCATTTCCAATACTGGTATTGGTATCGGAATAATTGGAGGACTGACAGAAAGGATTTGGGAACCACTGTTGTGGCATGAACACAGATGTGTCTGTGACAGCATTAAATGAATGCTTACTTAACATTTTGTATGTGTTTATATCATGGCAAACCTCCCTCACACAACTGAAGGCAGGGGTTTCAAGTTTAATCCCACAGGAGGTCCCACAAAGCCAAATCAATCCCCTTCCTAGTTGTATTGTTAAGTGCAATTGTAATTTTTTTAGTCCATCTTCAGTCCTCAGAAAAGAAATCAATTTTGAGCAGGAAAGCAAAGTCTCATCACAAATAATCAGATGAGGCACACCTGAGATGCATTCTGGTACCAGGTCTATCTCAACTGGCTCTAGACACAGAATATATCTGAATACAAAATACTTCCTTACATAAAGTGGTCACTAGTCTCCTTGGAGTTTACACATACTGTAACCACACAAATATATTACATCTGGACAGGCCCTAAATAAATAATGCCATGTTACACTCACCACACTGGTGACAGCAAGGGGCAAAGAGCATCTGGAAGTCATGTTCACAATATTTTCTTCCTTCAAACTGTGAAGAGAGGAACATTGAGATTCCTTCACTCAAGAGAAACAGTCAAAACATTCTCTATATAAAGGAGAACCAGAAACATCATCAACACACATGCAGCACACAAAGAATAGCTGTGTCTCAATTCAGGAGCTGCAGCCTTTGAAGGACGCAGCCTTCGCAGTCGACATCGGCCACGTCCTTTGAAGACCGCATCAGCCAAACTTAACTGTCTCCGAAATGGAACGGCATGGTCTACAGAGGATTTCCTGGTTGCATCACCAGTTGTTCTCGCACAGACCCGTTACCTAGCAACCAGATGCACTTGACGAAAGATGGAGTAAGCTAGTAAGATAGTTAGCCCTAAATCATGGACCCAGAGATTGTTATTATATTCTTTTTTTTTAAATTTAATACTTCAGGAGATGATTCATTACTGGAGACACCGCCGTTTGATATATTTCAGGCTGATGAACCGCTTCCAGGTAAACTTATTAAATTAAGATTGTTTAAGTTGTGTACTTTTAGCTAACAGTAATGTTAACAACAGTTAACCGGTAGCTAGGTAACAACTGTTAGTTAACTTAACTTGGTATATAATCGTCACTGGCGCGCAATGCATCTTGGGACAGACTGGGCCACAAAGGATTCATCCGTTGCATCCTCCAAAATGTGGGAAAAAAGGCTGCATTTCTCGCCCGCATTTGAAGGAGCCTTCGAAATGGGACAGTCTTAGTCGCGCTGATGTAATGCAATCGGTCTTCAAATGCAATCTTCAAAGGCTGCAGCCCCTGCATTGAGACACAGCTACTGGCTCATTATTACGTTTATTTTAGAAATGATTTACAGCGACTATCTGAGTGCACTACCTCATAGAAGAGTCCCTCAGGGAACTGCTGGAAACACTGTGCGCACACAAAGCACTGCTCGTGGTACAGTTCTCCATTACTGTTGACAATCTTCTCAGTCGGAGCAAAGCCACTCTTACACCGCTCACAGGCTGCACTGGCCAGGGCATTAGCAATGCTGTTGCACGAGAGAAGAAAATACATATTAGTACATTGCTTCCCCGGAGTCCCTGTGAAACGTTAGGCTGACAAATAACTGGCATGCAAGGCTGGACCACTGTTTATCATTTCTCACATAGCTCCTACATTAACTGCTGCGCTTGTTTCAGCAGCTGTCACCATGGAGAGTGGAAAATAATATGTGAATCAGTTGGGGAACTCACTAACACCGTTACTCACTGCACAGCCACTGCCTAATTTGGTAAAGGGGTAGAGGTACTGCAACACACACACACACTCAAACACAATAACCTGACTAGTAACCACCAAACTTAGACATTATCTTATCCATGTACAGCCCAATACTTTGGCACAGCCAAGAAGTTTCTGTCACTATTACTGTAATGTTCAAGGCCAATGCTGACATAGGCTTGGTGTGGAACATAAAGATGTTAAAATCAAGTTGCAGACTAAAACAACAGTAGCTAACCCAGCCAATCTTAATTTTATGTTAGTTTATTATTTCCCCCAGTAATAGCATATCATGCATCAGTTGCTATATTAAACTTCAAGTCAATTATGGTCATACCTGAATGCTCATAAAGGAAATTAGAGTCCAGGGGCGGTGAATGCTAATGAATAACATTTAGTTTGAGAGTTAAAACCCAGTGACAGCTAATTAGCATGCTAATCCTACAGTTAGCTTCGCTATAAGGAAGAACACTAACGTTACCGTTATTTTGTTTCCATTAGTGAACTAACTTTGACACAGCAGCTGTAAACCAACCTTTAAATTGTTAGCCTGTACCAAAATATGCTGATAATAACATTTTTGCTAGTGCTCTAAGAAGGGTGCATCTATTTTAGCATAGCGGTTAGCTACCCTGATAGCTACGCTAGCAAGCTAGTATGACGTTAGCTTTAGCTTGCTAGCTGAAGTTAGCGGTTTGCTACTAGCTACCCAAGCTAATGAAAACTCTTACCTGCCCGTCATTCCAGCCACCCCCAGCATCACCTCTTAGCACGACACTTTCAGACACGTAGCTAATAAGCAGCAACAAACTAGTGTGCTACAACTGTTCGCTGAGTTGGCAAAGTTGATGAGGGGAAAGCAGGCTGTGTCGTCCCCTCCCAGCGGAGCCGTGCCGAGCCGTGTCTGAGCTGGCAGCCGCTTCAGGCCACCCACTCAGGGAGTGTCGATGGAAGTTTAACATCATCAGTTTCTACATCTGCTGCAGCACACTGACCTGAATTAGTGCAGCCTCATCGTGCTGGATACAAAGGTGAGGGAAGCTTTAATGCATTAGATTTTCAAATCAACTTTCAATTGGATAAAGTAGTGTTTGTCTAAAAATAATTGTCAGTAGTTTTATATTCCTCATCTACTACTACTTTGGTGTCCTATTATCTTGTGATTGTAAGTGTGACAAACTGCCTCTCAAGCTTTCTAATTTTTACAAACAAGCCTTTGGAGCTGGAGGATTGTGGATCATGTATAATCAGCATGTATTGTCTGGAAACAAGTAAAAAGAAATTGATTGATAAAGGTGTAATCTTTGTCTTGGATGAACTGCAATATTTCTTTAAATCTGTTTCTGTAATAACAACAAACAAGAAAGCTTTTAAGACCTCTCAAATGATTGGTAAAATTATATCTAATAAAAACAACTAAGGTGTATTATTTCCAGGTTTACACCTCCCTTGTACAATTTAATGTTTGTCTGTAATAATTTTTGTTTATGTTTTTTTCTTTTGTTGTGTTTGATTTTGTCATTTCACATATGATGAATGAATGAAATAAATCTGTACAATGTACTTTTATATTTGAAATATAATCAATAAAAAAAATGTTTAATTAATGAAGCCCTGAGAGGCAATATTTTTTTTGGTGATCTTTTTTTCTAATTTTTGTAATTATTATTCACAGCAGCCCATATTATTATTATTATTATTATTATTATTATACAGATGAGTTTTTCTTTTTTTGTCATTCTTTTTAATTCATGGAAATGGGTGAAATTTTTTTTTTTCCAGGAGTAATTTCTTATCTTTTTATCCCAACTGTAAAAACAGATGTAACATATTTTTTTCCATATTTTTTCATCTGTAAAAGCTTCTAAAATAACATGTTTTGCCCTTTTCACAGATAAAAAAAAAATCACTGAAAAGTTATCCTGAAAAAAAAACTTGCTTGCCTCTCTGGGCCTCCAAAGTAACTTCATAGTAACAGAAGACATAATACATTATAACTTCAATTTCATTTGCAAATACAGTATTTTGCAACGCACTTGCCTCTGATTTCCCATTATCCCTGCCTTGTGTGCAAAATAACTGTACTGTAATTTCGGGGTGGGGAAAAATTGATACAGCATAGTATCCTGATATTTTGCCTGGCAATACTGTATTGATACACGCAGGCCAAGTATTGATTTTTTTTATTATATGAACGATTACCATTGCAAACACAAATTAATATTTTGGTAGCCTACTAGAATAATAAAGTAAATCGCTTTCTCAGTCCACTAGATACATTTTGCTGGAATAAAACTGATTTACTGTGACATGAACACACTGAAAATTTGATGTTATTCGATAAAACAGATGAGGACAAAGTTTTCCTCTGTGAACAGAATTCGTAGTTAAAAAAAAATGTAATATAATGCAATATATGTTAGCATAATACTCAGCATATCAAAATTGCAATGACGAAAGTATTTTGATATTATCGTCTTGTGGGTCCTCTGATGATTCCCAACCCTACTGTGATTTATATAATAACACATAAAGCCATGAGTTTTATAATACTTAAAATCACACGTTACATACATATTTTTATGTTGAATGTTTGGGCATAATTTATCAACACAGTATGTAGAAAACAAATCCTCTGCAGTGTCTTAACACATTAGTGTTTGATAAGAGTGAAACAGCTATTTAATTAAAATATATTTCTATATATGAAAACATGTATAACCTCTTATCATACAGTATATGTATGTCTATTGCCATATATGTGACTTTCATATGAGGTGGGTGTGTCAGTCAAACTCAGAGGGAGTGATGGGAGTTTGCTGAGGGGAGCGAGAGGATAAAAATCAGGATTATGTCAAACAAGTGCAAAGAAGTACAGCTTCTTCACACCCACTGCCCATAGAAGACTAATCTAGGGAAGTAATTATCTGATGAATTTCGTCATATAGATGCAACATGCCTGTAAATCCAGTATCAAGTTCAGTCAAGCACAGATTGCGCCTCATATAGCCTCACAGTCAGGAGGTGTAACCAAAACAAGTGACAACACCTGTGTGGAGGTGTGAAGGCGATATGAATATCATGTTGTTACTGCTCAGTATCATCACATATTGTCTGTTAAAAAGTTTTTGAAAAACAGCTGACAAACACAAAACAAGTGTGTTCCTGAGAGTTTCAGCACATACAGAGCTGTAAAATCTGGATAGCTGATAACCTTTATAAAATTAACGGAAATGTTTGGAATAATGGAGGAATAATGTGGATGTGAGAAACACGAGCCATCTAACTTTATCGGCTCTTCGTGTGTACCTGAAGTGCTACCAGAATGTTTCCTCTTTAAGGAATATCACTTATTGTCCTTTTAAATCCAAAGACTTAAAAAATGTAATTAGCTGTGGGTGGAGCAGGAGACGGCACACAAGTTATGTCTTGTATCTGATTTCCTCTAATGGAGCTATTATTTCACCATGTCCTCTCTTGCTTGTGCTTATTTTTATGTCCTCATGTTTACTGTTGTTTATATACCCTCTTGGAGAGCACTCTGCTCAGAGGTAAGTGCAGTATAAATAACAATTACTTGTATTGTATTCCACTCTTTTCCTCTGTCTGTTATGCTCCAATCTCCTCACAGGGGTGTTTCAGCTGGTTTAAAATTAAAATGAGTTGACTCACAGTTTTCAGAGGTATATTTTTCTACTTTGTAGCATGATGTATAGTTTGCCTGTTTTCACTGTAAACACATAGCATGTGTGCATTAGACACAAGCCAGTGTTTGACTAATAAAATTGTCTCCGTAACCCATTAAGGACAGAGGATAAGAGCTCTGCAGGACAAGAGTTATAAAGGGCTTTAAAAGCATTTTAAAGAAGGATAAATAATCTAAAGAAAAACATTACATTTATTACATTTCCCTTTTCTGTCAGATCCACCAAAAGCCACCTCACTCCAAAAATGTCTTTGACAAAATCAGATTGTAAATAGGTTTTACATCCTGTCAAATAAAACTGCACTTTCACAGTACTTCCAACAAGCATATGGGAATCATTTGATTTCATAGGTTTGTCATTTTAGCAGGGCGTCGCTTGCAAAGTGAGTGATTTGAAGGCAAACACTGAGTCCTCTTCACCACATCTGACAGAATTGAATACTGTGGAGCAAAATACTGAGGGTGTGTAAACATAAGTAATTTCTGATGACCAATTTGATGTTTTCCACTCCCCAGAATAGTTTGTGACTGTTTCACAAAATGCTAAAAATACTTGGGGAGCAGACAGATCAAACTCAGCCCACCTCTCTTCAGACCTGTAACGTCTTGAAACAAGGCAACTGTCTCTTTACAGAAATCATAACCTGCTTACTCAAGATAATCCCCAGGCTTTGCTGTGAGCAGTTTCATGTAGGAACTATTTTCTTTCTACCAAACTACAACCACCAACCGGAAGTGTGCATCTATGGCTAGCTCACCCAACACATAGACCACATATAATAATGGACATAGTTACCGTGACATCACCCATTAGTTTGTGAACTCCTTTTTTGAAGTTTAGCATTTCAGCCATCGCCATCTTTTTTTTTGGAGCCAGAAGTGACCACTGGACGAGAGGTTGGAGCTGTGGAGGAGCCGGGGGTGGATCTGACTCAAAGACTGTTGTGACACCTTGCAGACAGCCTATTACTCAAGCAGCCCTCCCTTAAGTATGTCTAATATTAAGCCTAAAAAATGTTTGTGAGTTAGTAATAGTTGACATGAAGGGCAAAGTTAGATAGAGACCAAAACCATTTTTGTATCACGCTGTAAACATGTTTATTTCTGCTGTTAAGTTTGGCACGTTAACATGGTTGTCTATGGGGACTTAAGCAAGGTTTATGCTACTGCATACCTGCGATGCAGAGGGCTTTGCGGAGGCGTTGCGTCTCTCTGTGACTGACGCAGAGACGCGATGTGCACCTCCAAAAAATTGTAACCATGCATCAAGGCAATGCAGACCCAACGCAGACCGCAAGAGCTATGATTGGTCCTTCAAACTACATAATTTCCGGCATTTCGCAAGGTTTCACCTCCTGCTGCAGCGTCACATATCCACCCGTAGTCTGCCTCAAGCCGTTCAATGGGCGTACAGACCATCGGCACGGTCACCTCTCTCTTCGTCGTTGTCGTAACTTTTGTAATAAGAGCATTTGTTGTTCAATGTGGATCATTTCGAGTCTCAGTCGCCATCTATCACTCTGACTAGAGCAAAGCCGGAAGATAAACAAACAATGAACGAGCAATGACCATAGACGCCACAGAGTCTAGGTAGGTATATAGAAGAACACCGCGACCCCAAGCACTTTGGCGGGGAATTGTATAGCGATATAGAGCAGCAGAACTGATAGGTACACAGCAACTGTGTGCACGTTGCGTCGAGTGTACGCTTCTGGAGCCAGCCTCAAGTGGCCATTCAAGGAACTGCAATTTTTGGCACTTTTGCGTTGGCTCCATTAATGCTCATATCTCGCACAGTCACAAGCATAACCCTCTCGTCCATGAGTAGATGCACACTTCTTTCCATGCAGTGAGACGGTTGGCAGTTGTAGTTTGGTAGAAAGAAAATAGTTCCTACATAAAACTGCTCATAACAAGGTCTGTGGATTATCTCATAATTTCTGGAAAGAGACATTGCTGTTGAGTTTTTCAAATGTATTTTTTGGGGTTGGCAACTCACACCAAAATAATCTAGATTGATAAATAGCACTACAGGTAAAGGTGGCAAGGTGATGCAGTGGTTAGCACTGTTGCCTCACAGCAAGAGGGTTCCTGGTTCAAACCCAGGGTGGGGGAGCCTTTCTGTGCGGAGTTTGCATGTTCTCCCTGTGTCAGCGTCAGTTTCTTCTGGGTACTCCAGCTTCCTCCCACAGTCCAAAGACATGCAGGTTATGTTAAATGGTGACTCTGGGTGCCAGTGGGTGTGAATGCTACTGTGAATGGTTGTCTTTCTCTATGTGTCAGCCCTGTGATAGTCTGGTGACCTGTCCAGGGTGTACCCCGCCTCCCGCCCAGTGTCAGCTGAGATGTATTTTTGATTTGGGGATGAAAAAAACACACACAAGAAGCTAATTAAAGCAACAGTGTTGTTTTTATAGTTGAGACATGAAATACGTATTCAAACAGGCATTTTTAATGTGGCTATGAACTTAACTCAAATATTACATGTCTTTGGGAAAAGTACAAGAGGTTATCTTCCAATAAATCTTCTCAGTACTTGTAAAGCTAAAATAAAAACAACACACTGTCACTGGTCACTCTATAAAAAACTGCAGCCCTTATTTGGCCTATTCTTGAATATTACAATAATCATCTATAAGCATTCAATACAAATGTAGTTAATATCAACCAGCGGATGGCGTGGTTTTATAAATACACAACAAAACGTAAAGGGTAAAGTCCATCGCCAGGCCTCACTGACCCTCAGAGACAGAAAACAGAAAATTAAGACATGATGGGTCTCTATGAGAGGGCAGCAACTGAAGAAATATTAATGTGAAGATTTTCTTTTTCTATTAACATTTACAAGCAAAATACACCAAAAAAGGATGAACATCAACCTTGTAAAACAAGAATCCATTGTTAACTCAACATAATGATTTATAGATCTCTTTCATTGCACAGTCCAAGGGCGTCCATAGACTACAATATCCACCACCTTAAGACATCTTCCAACGTATTATTACTCACTCCATTGCAACAAAACAACAGTGAGACATAAATATTTAACTCTCACACATTCAGGCAAACATTCAGTTACATCAACATTCAGCTGTCACACTGTCCTGGCGTCAGGGCTGCACAATTACCTCATTAAGGTCGTGATTTTTATCAATTATACATGACCACTGGTTACTGGATGATGTGGCACCTGTTGTGTGTTTGTATTGTAGGAGAGCCTGTTCCTGTATAAAACTTGTTGCATAAAGTGCAGCATTTGTCATAATTGTGCAGCCCTGTTTTAATATTTGGAGCAGTTCCGTTACTTAGCAAATTTGAGCTAAATACACAAGGAGAAAAACTGAAGATAGATACACGTTTTGTATCTTTGTCGAGTGGTCATAATTGGAAACGTGGGCTTCTTCTCTGCTGTTTACAGACATGGCTGATGTTAGGAAACATTAATAAAGATCCGTCAATCAATTTGAGAGCTCCTCACGGGGCGACCCTTTATTTACTTAAGTAGATTAAGTAGGTATCGACCAGTGGTTCCCCTCTGGTCCAGCCACACGGTCCAGATTTCTCCTGAGTCGTTAGTTTAAAGTCAGCTTCATACTTGCGTTTGGCCATGTCACTGAGCTAGTTTGCTGTCTCTGTTAAGCAGCTGTCAGTTATTCCCTCACTCTACAGCGGGAAACGGCACTTCAAAATAAAACCTCTGTGCCGGAAATCTGCTGTATTTCAAAATAAAGTGTGTTTTTTACAACCTCAACATATTGGGTAGTCACTTGTGGCCCATTCAGACCACTTTTGGGCTGCGAACCACCAGTTGGGAACAAGTGGTGTAGACTATGAATGATTGTGTTTTCACGTTTCGTTTGTCCCTTTCCTAAAGTCTCAATTATTTTTTTCTGTCATCTATCAACAATGAAAATAATCCCACCTGCCAATTTAATATCTTCAAACCGAAAATGTTTCTAAGAATAGAAAACTCAATAAAAAGCAAGTAAACTACCTTGGGTGACGCATAGAACTGACAGATTTACTGATCGCCACCAATGTTTTATCATCATGTGGCTGCAAAATCCGTTAATCTCATGCAGCTCATCTCGCTAAACTTCATCAGAGTAAAAGTGCATCAGTAGAATTCGGTAAATGTACAAATATATAACGCCCACATTAAAATTCTTTCCTCCCGTCTGTTTTGCAATATAACATTTTGATATTTACAGTCTTGATAGGAACATGGGTCAGGCAAGCAGAAATATAGCTACTGTACATTACACACAAAAATATGTCCAAACATCACTCTCTCTACATATATACAGTATATACAGAGTACGATGATTATGGCCAGAGTCACTGAAGAGCACCACCTTTGCAAACAGCTGTCCTTAGAAACAGGGAGATGAAACGGCACAGAGTAAGAGACAGCTCTATTTTTTCTAAATGAGATGCAGTGACTCAGAAACTAAGCAAAGACGTCAAGCAGAGACATGATGACAGGAGGCAGGAGCATGGAGAGCAAAACAAAACCTAATGTATTCAACATGTTGTCGCTGTGTGCTTCAGTATGGCCTACCTGACCACAGTGTTGTGATCAGCCATCCAGTCTACAACAAGTGTCACACTGAGGGTGACTGTCCCTTCATAATGAAATGTTTCTTACTCCTGTACAGTTACCATGTGTCATTATTGGGTTGTAAACCTTCCATAATAGATAAGAAGTAGGACTTTTTATGATGTTAACTAGGTATCACCAAAACATACTGGCTTATAATGGTGACTATGCAGACTGCTTTCTGAGCTACCACACTGCCTGGTCTCAGACATTTTGCTTTCAGTGTGGCGATGCCACCTGATGGAAAACATCTGTATGTAAAGTTACTGAAATTAAACTTGAAATTTGTGATTTCTATTAGAAAGATTATGCCCTCCTATGATATGACAAAATGGTATTGTTTCTGTCTGTATATAATGCAGTAAAGACAGGCCGCGTACATGAAATAACCCCCACAAATTCCCATTCATTCCCAATAATGCCGACATTCCTGTTAATTCCCATGGAAAACCAATCACAGGGTGTTAGCCCTTGAAGGAATACTTCACCTACAAAATGACCATTTGACAATAACTCAACACGTTACGTTGGATTTGTGAAGAAAACTGTTTTTTTGGCATGCCTCCACGGTGAACGGAGAATCCAAAAATTATAATGTTTACGCAAAAAATAATGTGTTTGGGAAGTGCTGAACATACAACTGGATAAATGGATTATACTGCATGAGCTGTGTGAGAGTTTGTAAGCAGACATAGTTTTGCTGTTGTTAACCATGGTCCCTGACTGTTTACTTCAATTCATGAAGAATGTTTGCCTTTTTTGGATTCTTCGTTCACTGTGGAGGCATGCCAGAAAAACAAAGGTTTTTTGTCACGAAAATGAAGGTGACACGCGGTGAGTAAGTTTGCAGGTGAAGTATTCCTTTAAGAAAGGGCTCAGAAGACAAGGTGCTAAATGCTATAAGTGATAACATGACAAATAGAGGAAAAAAAATAAGTCAAGTCTTTCTCCTCACTTACAAAGTCGTCCATAACCAGGGCCCCTCATACCTCATTGACCTACTCCACATTCACACTCCTTCCCACAGCCTCCAATCCTCTGATACCGACCTCCTATATCCACCTCCAGGACCAAGCATCAGACCGAGGGCCCTTTTCCACAGCCACTTTTTCCCCAAACACATATGAGACTTATCCAATCTGTCACTTCTCACTGATCAAAACTCTGCTTTTAATGTGTGATTTTTGTTGTATTATATATTTTTAGACTGTTTGTAGACTGACTCTATGATCATTTTAACTTGTGTTGAGTGTTTTTGAGTACCCTGAAAAGCACTCTATCAATAAAATGTATTATTACTATTAATATCATTATTAAATAATCAAAGCTCAAAGCTCGAGGTGAAGCAATTTCTTCATGTATTCAGGGTGAAAAAGAAAGGGCCTTTCTCACAAACAGGAGAAAGATGAGGGGCATCTCCAAGAAATATTGTTCTCCAAGGGACACACAGTCACAAAAACTTAAATCTTCCTCCAGACATCTACCAGGTAGGCATCATGTCTGGGAACCAGACGCGACCCAAATGCTTTGACACCTCCCAGTGGATATCATCCAGCCCATAGCGGTGATCTGGAACCAGTACCTCCTCCATGATGGATAGTTGCGTCAGTCTGTCTCCACACATCTTGACAAACTCCACGAAGGCGCTACAGGACACTTCGCACTCCCCCAAGCCGATGGCCGACAGCTGCGTGCAGCGCTGGGCGATGCGGATCAGCTCCTCATCCAGCGGCCGCAGCCCATTGGCGCACACCACCAGCTCAACCAGACGTGGGCAGTTGAGGCCAACGCGGCCGAGCACGTCTTTGCTGACGGAGCGGCCAAAGTACAGATGCGTAACGGGGATTTCATCGCGGAAGAAAGGGCTGAACTCGTCCTCATAGAGGAAGAAGTACATGACCAGATTAAATTTAGGAGAATGGCGCACCATGGCGTCCCAGCTGCTCTTCTTGATGGTGTGGAACTGCTGGCCAGGATTCTCACTGACCACGTCGATGCGAAGGTGCTCGAGGTGAACATGCTTCTCTGAGGAGAGGGCGATGAGAAGGTCATCGCTCAGCAAATGGTAGTTGAGTGCCAGTTCTCTCAGGCCGTGGCACTGATCAGCCACACACAGGATGCCTGGGATACAGAGAAAAGTTAATTAGGAGATTACAGATCTACACAGCCTGTTTAAAGCTGAGCACAGAAGAAGATGAAGAGGAGCAATGTTGGCCAACAATGTTCCATCACTGTGTGTTTTTCAGCATCAGTGTCCCGTTCCATCTACATTTATGTCTTCCAAGCCACTTCTGCCCAATTACCTCCTTGACTGCAAATAACGTGCTTTCATCAGGGTCCCCAAAGTTTCTTAAACATCAAATTCAAGGACTTTTTGGGGACTTTCCAGCCCCAATTCCCTCAGAAACAAGGACACAACACAGATCAAGGCTAATTACTGTTAATGACAACTTTCATAATGAGAACTAGTCGACTTTACAGACAACAATTAAAAACAAAGAGAGGCTTAAATGTGTGAACATTTTTCAATTAGGCTGCGTAGGTGGTGGCAGGTGGTGTGTGAAACAATGACGCAACTGCAGGAAACACATGCAGACACTGGAAAGTAGCCTGTTTACTAATGTTAACGATGTACTTGGCAGGAATTTCCAAAAAGGGGTTGTGGATACAAGCAACTGAAATGAGTTTCCTTAGAAAGGTGTCCCGTTAAATGTGTTCCAGGTACATCCCACAGGTAGGAGGCGCCGGGGCAGACTTAGAACACTCTGGAGGGATTATATATCTTGTCTGGCCTGGGAACACTTTGGGGTTCCCCAGGAGGAGCGGGAAAGCATTGGGGAGAGGAATGCCTGGACTACTTCGCTCAGCCTGCTGCCCCTGCGACCCGGCTTCGGATAAGCGCTTAAAAATGTATGGATGCACTCTGCCCTCTGCCTGTATTTTCTTTCCTCTTCTTATTTTTTGTGTCTGGAAAGTTTATAGGTGTACCATGTAAAATGGTAGCAATCATGTGCCAGACATAAGCAGCAGGCATTGAAGAGACACTGTGCCAAAAAACTCAAATATAGTGAGACAAAAAGCCAAACAAGAGTGAATCTGGGGTGGGCATTTACTCTCACTTTCGCTGGCAAGACACCTTCAAGAGCTTCAATTTGTTTCTTGCACAAAATTTATAAATTCAATCAACTGCACGCTTCTTTGCCACCTGGCAACCATTTTTAACTTTTGTGGCAAATACAGAAACTGAAAAATTGTAATGAAACATGCTATACTCCCCTACATACAAGTTATTTAATTTGCCGTCACTCTTCCCTTTTTAAATTAAGTTAAATTAGATCTAATTTAATTTTTATTTGTATTTTTATATATTCCATTTTATATTTATATATTATTTTATATTTATTTCACATTTATACCTTTTTAAAAATTATTTATCTATTTATTTTGTTTATTAGATTTCCTTTGACTGGTCTGGCTTTCTCTGTTTGTTCCTGGGTTGATGGGTGGGTGGTGTTTTTGGGTTTTTTTGTCCTCACTGGTTCTGTGTTTGTTTATAAAGACTCAGTACATCTTTGTTGAATTACCAACAAAATAACTTGTTAAAAAAAATCTACAAATCCAAGCACTTTCAACTAGTTTTGTCTACTTTCAAAAGCTTTTAAGGCCTTTCCCTAAAATTCACAAATTTTCAAAGATTTCAAGGACCTGTGGGAAATGTGTTTTATACTTATTTTCCGTCCACCATTTCAAATTTGCCGTCCTGCTGCTAAAAACATCCCAGGGGGGAGCTGATGTTCCACAGACGTAAAAAGGTTTTACACCAATGTCAGCTATAATTGCCCCTTGATCAATTGAGTTCTTACAATAATTAGTCAACTATTATTAATCATTAACATCCCTAATAGCTATCATTCCTCATTTGTCAGTACCTGCGGGTGAAACATGAGGGCAGCTGCTCATTTTCAGCAGTTTGAGGGTGTCACTGTTGTTGGCCACCAGGACTTTGAGGGAGGGATCGTCTACAGGTGTGTCATCGATCTTCAGGGAGGAGAGGGATTTGGAGTTGACAAAAACCACCGTCAGCGCTGAGATGAAGTGAGACTGTGGAGCAGAGCGAAAGAGAGAAACGTTGCTTTTCTTTGGTTAACATGGAGGCTTTATATGCTGGTTTTATTCACCAAGACATCACACAATTAGACATGCAGTCATGGCCTACATCTGCCATCTAGTTCCACTATGCATCTGCTTAACTGTCCAAGTAAACAGGGTGAGTGCAAAGCTGAAAAGCTAAGATATGCTCACACTATGTTACAGTTACAGTTACAGTTACAGCGTCTCTTGCTGAGGTTTACCTTAGGCAGCTCCATGAAGCTGGGTCTGGCCGTGGAGATGAGCCCGAGTGTTTTCAAAGAGCAGTTCACGAGCTGAGAGAGGATGTCGCACGCTGCCTCTGCAGACTCTCTGCTGCTGTCCACCTGAGCAGCACAGAGACAGAAAATGAAAACCCAGCAACACTTGAACTTGGCAGGAGCATAAGAATTCACCTCACTACACACTTTCTCTTCATCATTTTAACCACCCTAAGCTCAAACTCCTCTTCACCATTAGTCCTTACCTTGAAGCTCACATACTGCAGGTGGTTGGAGTGCCTTTTGATGATCTGTTTGATTAGTTCTGGGTGTGTGGCCTTCAGGTAGGAGCTGGCTGGTTGGTTCAACTCGAACTCGAAGCAGCGCCACAGCTCCGGCATGTGAAACGCCTGGTTCCAGCCACGGCACACCTGTGATGACATCAACAAAATTAAAATCTGACTCAGAAATATTCTTTGTTTGGTTATGTTCATGGACCATTCTTGAGTTATTCAAAATAGACTTAACAAAAGGCAACTAAAGATTTTTTAACCTCTTTCATACAATTTTAAAAATGCCTAAAATTGCTGCTATTGGCAAAATGAATCCTTTGGGGACACTCTGCAGAGCAAAATCTGAGTCATATTTGAAATAAGATTTTTTTTCCACAATAGCTTACAAAATGTGACTCACAGGAGAGCACAGAGACCATTAATTCACCCTGAGGCAAGTAGCCTTCTTCACTGCAGCACTAATGTCAAGAGTACCAGACTTGTTGGAACAGAAAAACAGGTATGAGTGTTTGTTTGGGTGCTTGAAACTTTCTGGTGCATTGTTAAGAGTCCAATTGCAGTAACTTGTTTTTCGGGGGGCCACTTGAGGGCAGCAGAGACACGCTGCGTCTGTCTGCTGTTTGGTGCTGAGCAGGTAGTGAGGTTTAGAGCTTTTTGGATGAAAGCAGCTTCCTCCTGCATCTGAAAACAACTTTTCTGAGAACAGTAAGATTAAATCAGAGCAGTAAACATGTAGGTCAGAGGGCTAAACATTGAGCTGAACTCGTTTTAAAGCTCTGAAAAGCTCTTTCACGTTGTCACACTGTTTTCATGCTTTCATTTGACAGTGTAATTAGAAAAATAGTGATTATATCTGCTTTGGCTGCTTTGGCAATATAGCAGAGGTACAGCTCGTTCTGTCCCAACAAGATGCCAAAAACTTTAATTTAAATTTCTTCTGCAGGCCCTTAACAAGAACAAAAAAGAAACATAACCTGCTGTGACACCTAGTGTCTTTAGGATTGAATTTAAAGGTCATTTACTTATTTTCAAGGCACTTCATGGTTTGGGACAGCCTATACTGCTAATTCTTTGTCATTCTATCATCCTTCAAAAATCCTACAAAGTTTTCTGAGTCAGCTGGGAGTATGAAATGAAGAGGTGACTGAAACATAATTATACAACATCATAAGCTTGCTGTGTTATTGTATAGTTATGTTTAAGGCAAAAAAGTTTGACTTCTGTGTGTAAAATGACCCAGATCGTCTGTGTCATGGGGCAAATGCTTGAGACTTTCACCAGCCAAGCAGCTAACTTGTGGTTTAGCACTCTGCTGACTTGAATGAGGATAAAATTATTTTACTGTGCAGCTCTTCTACACCTTGGAAATGTTACTGGAACAAGTGGATCAAATCCTGTTTGTGAAACAAGTCAACTTGTGGAAATAGTGACGCTCAAAAAAAAAAAAATGTATCCACTGATCTACAGACGTCCCTGTACCAATAAGTCTATGGGAAAAAGTCTTTTCAGACCCAGAAGCTGTAATTCACAGCCTGGCCACTACGTCAAACTGGCTTCACGGCCTGGCGCTGTTCCTAAGGGCCTGGTGTAACCATTGTCTCATTATTACATGGGTACCTGAGAGGCGTAAGCCCTATCCAGCAGAGGCAGGTACTGGAAGATGTGGAGCAGGATCTCCTGAGGCAGACACCCCCAGCGGACTCCCTCCTCCTCCGGATCTTTCTCCCTCCTCTGCTTGCGGGACCGTTTAAGAGTCTCCTGAGACCCGCTGCTGGTGCCACCTCCGTCCTCCTGTTCATTCCCCTGCAGACCTCGTTTCATCCTGAGTAAACAGAAGAGGAGTGAACAAAATCCAGATGGTTGGCAGAGTTAACTTTAAGAAACTACTGTTCACACAGGGTTTCTTAAACCTAATCTCTACACCAACTAATCTTTATCCTTAAGGAACCCCTTTTCTACCATTAAAAAACTCTCTCTAAGTGGTATACTTTATGGATATTTCACACTTTATTCAACGCATAACAATAACAGTACAGAAAAACTGACAAACTATACAATTCCCTGGAATAGTGAACACAGTAACTGCAGGAAGTTTCTGTCTAAAATGATTGAATGAATTTGGAGTGGATTATTTCCTGTTAATGTTGCATCAGAAGTGAGTTCCTGATAATTTCACTGACTCTTCAACCCATACGTTTTCCACAAGCTCTACAGCAATTTCTGCAGTCTTTCCACAAATGCAGGTTCAAAGCAGGACGAGACAAGCCTCTCTTCACGCAACAGAGGTTCAAAGACAGAGAATGTGCAGCTATGACAGCGAGGCATTCCTTCACTGAAGAAGAAGATAATGCAAAAGACATATTTGCATCTGGCCAAATATCAGCAGTCGACATAGTATTTGACCTATGCCACGATAAAAGCTTCTGCTGCAAAGGGTTGGGCAATATGATGACACACCATAATGCAACCATCAGCTATGTTTCATATACAGAGTATGTACATATATATGTACACATAGGAGTATTGCTATATACCTGTATTGACAATAACCGTGGCATTTAAAAATTAAATACTGCTATCATGTTAATAATACACATATGATAATACTGTGTAACTCATCAAATGCTTCTTAAATCACTTTCTTTTCTTTCTGTTCTTGCTTTGTCACCGTCCCCCAATGGCATCTAGTTGCCTTTCACTACCCAGTAAGTATGACTGCTCTTTTTGTACCATTTTGTACAGTTAAGTTTACAGACTCTGTCTCCCCCACCCAACACTTTATTTTGAGAGTAAATTATTTGCCAGAACAGAGATGTAGTGCACAGTAAATAAAGTTAGAGATTCATCGGACTGATGGCTTTCTTTTTTCCCTTCGTAGATATCACTAAATCATTATCGTGAACTCTTTAGGCCCAATAATCATGAAGCAAAAATCCAATATCGTGCCAGCCCTAGTACATATATTCAGCCATTTACATTGAGGTATCTCTTGTCTTATTATCTCTGGTTGTATTATTTGGTCAGCGGGAATAGCCAGAAACATTCCTGTCAACTTAGTTCATCAGTTTCTAAATTATTTTCCAGTAACTTTGACAATTACATTACATATCAATGTCACAATATAACAATACATTTACCATGACAAAGTATTGTGCTCATATGTAGATATCTTCACACAAACGTATTTGGTTTTTGTTTCTGCTCCTTGAAACTACTTCTATCATGTATATTTTGCCAGATATTTAATACTCTATTGTTTAAAAACTGGACCCAGTGAGTCAGTGAGTGACCCTGACCCGGGGAAGCCACTGGTTGTCAATCGTTAAACTGTGGTTACTGTATTTAGTGTTACTGTAATTTGAAGCTTTCTCAAAAACACAATTTTCTTTCTGGATAAATAAAGTTCTACTGAATTGAATTAAATCAAAAGCAATATTTGTATTTATTCAGCATGTCTAATTAGACTTGTTTTCTTTTATCAATGTTGGTCGACTGATAATTCTGTGCAAGTGTGTGCCACCATCTAAAAATGAGAGTCCCTGGTTTATTTTCAATTATCATGTAGGCAAGAATAAGACTGTGGTATATTTATGAGATGTTGTTTGTCTACAGTGGTGTTCATTTAATGTGTAATGCCCTGACTTACCTATGACACGACTAATTAACCTGCAAAGCTGAACAAAAGTAAAATGTTCCTGTGTGTGTGTTTCTGGCTGCTTCCACTGCCTGTGCTGACCTGAGAATGAAAACATTGTAAAGGAGGACACGCCTCCCTCCGCCTCAAACAACACCACTGTTTCATCAGCCTGATGTTAAATTAAGTGGATTTAAGTTCACATAATGTGTCTATAGTTGCATATGTCTGCACAGAAATGATGTCGCGATGTTGGCGACGTTTAATGACAACACTGATGGTTAGTTTACGACACAAACACGTCAAAGACAAGAGTTAGCTTAGCCGAACCGAGCCTTGCATCTTGCTAGCTAACGCTACTTAGCTAACAAGTTGTACTTAATATGAAGTTACTTTGAAAAATATATTTTAGAGAAACACAAGGGGTGACGTAGCGTCTCATGAGATGCCGTTCTCCTTTTACCTGGCTTTCACCTCCGTCGGCTGATTGTCAGAAAAGGCGACCACTTAACGTCAACCGGGACCGACACAAGAAAACTGCGTTCGAGCTGGCGGACGGATCAAACACATTGGACCATAGGACAGCGTGGTGTGTCGGGAGGTTAGCAAACACCGGCGGAAAGCTTATAAAGCAGAAATGTTCAGAAGTGGTTTCGTTTTCCAGTCGTCTGCCTGACCTAGTTTCGCCCCACAACTCTGCTTCAGTAGTTTGCCTGTCAGCTAAAGATGGCGTTTGTTTTGCAGCACCGACAGTGAGCTGGCCGGTCTGTAGTTACAGCGAACTGCCAGCAGGGGGAGGCATAACACTGAGCTGCAGGGCTTCTTCTTCTTTGGGATTTTTGTGGTAGCTTACATTCGCTATGTTGCAATGCTGCCACCCTCTGGAGCTAGTCAGTTACTGCATAACCAGGTTTAGTGCTTGTGTGAGATGTTAAAGGTGAACACCACCTAAATTAAGACCCTGTGTCCTCATATAAGGACATTGCATTTTGAGTTTACTGGACTTTATACTTTATTCCTCTTAACTTAGGCCTATTGTCCTCATTCGTAGACACTTTTTTTGTGCCATCTAGTGGTAGTAAGAGCACAACACACTAATCCATGGAAAAACAAGATGGCATCCCATCACAAATGTAGACAAGGTCCAAAACCTGATCACATTTTATGGTTGAAACTTGTTTATTTATCATTAATAATGTTTTTAGCAAGAGTAACAAGCTAAGATGCTGTTTATTAGAAAGTACTTTGGAATATTCAACCCGTTAAAGGACATTTGAACTTTATTACTCTCTTATTTGAGGATATTGTGACTTTATTATTGTTGACAATGTTTAGTTTTTTATATTAACAGGTTCTACTGATCCCAAATAGCTAGGAGAAATTAAAAAATGTATACAAAACAAAAGTTTGGGTCTCAGGATATGATATTTCCATGGCCTGCGAATCAATATTTGTGAACATGAGCTGCTCTCTCTCAAAGCCAGAAACCAGAAAAGAAAGTCATAAAGCAGTGGTTCTCAAATGGTGTGCCGATCCAGGTGTGGCATGGGATTTTGTGATAGCCACACACTATTATTGCAATATTCAACTGGGCCTATACAGAAAGTTATGAATGCATTTTCAGTTGACTGTATCAGTATGTTGTGCACATCCATTTTGTAATAAAGAGGCCAACTCTGGATAAAAAATATAATTTAAAAATTTGAAAAACCTTCACAAGGAACCTATTTGTGGCCATTTGCACATGGGAATTATAAGTGTGTGACACATTAAAAGCCCTGATTGGCAGCCAGTGTGAGTGATGATAACATTTAAAAGGAGAACGCCGTCAGTGGGACAATAAATCGCTTTATTGTACAGAGCAAATTACAATAAAGCAACAGTGAAGATGACCTGCCACTGAAAGAAAAGAGGACAGTATCACAAAAGCTACCTGTCTTCCTTCCATCCATTGTCAGAACTGCTTATCCTCTTGAGGGTTGCGGGGGGGCTGGAGCCTATCCCAGCTGACACTGGGCGAGAGGCGGGGTACACCCTGGACAGGTCACCAGACTATCACAGGGCTGAGACATAACTCCAATCTGGAGCCACAAAACATATTTGACTAAAGGTAACAGCCTATTAAGTTTAAATTAGCCCATCGACAGTACGAATAGGTCTTAATGAGCATTTATCAATATCATTTACTACAAGGTGGCTACTCTGCAGTTGGCTATTTATAATTATGTAGTACTTTAACTTTGCAGCATGGAAGAATGGTAAACAGACTGCACTTGTATAGCACTTTTCTAGTCTTCCAGCCACTCAAAGCATTTTTACACCACATGTCACATTCACCCATTTACACACACATTCACACACTGGTGGCTTAGGCTACCGTATATGGTACCATATGCACTGATATGCCCTCACACACCAATGGAACAGCCATCTGGAACCAGTGGAACAGCCATCTGGAACAATTTGGGTTCAGCATCTTGCCCAAGGATACCTATGTGATCATTAACTCTGCAGGGCATGGTACAAGATCTAGTTATGTTGGGTTTTTTTTGCCACACACACACACACGTACGGCACGGAGCATCAACCACTTGGCCAAACCAAATCAACTTCTGGGTCTCATGTTGACACAGCTGATCCAACACAAGCCGTGACAATGACTTTTAGTTCTACTTTAAAAATAACCATAAGTTTTGAAGCAGGATGATGAACTTCTTTGGCTGGTCCAGTGATGTAACACACAGTCTTGCATAAGAGACAGAGCAATGTAAACGTATAGCTGTCTGTAGCCTTCACAGAAATGCCTACGCATCACCTGTTCAAATATTGCAGCATGACTGTCAAAGTATAAGAGCCTTACGACATCGACCCTTTAAAAGGAGGCTGCCAGTGACAAGCTGGTGAGTGTGCTGTATCCTCCTGGTGTTTTTTGGAGCCCAGAGATCTGTCTCCATCTCCAACATGCTGCTGTCGCTGCACTGGTTCTGGCTGGTCCTTTGGCTATCTCTGAGAGCAGTGGAGGCCCAGTTTCCACGTCCCTGTACCACACCAGAGGCTCTGCAGGCCCGGACGTGTTGCCCCCTCTGGAATGGCTCTCCTTGTGGGTTCAGCTCAGGTAGAGGAGTATGTACACCACATCCTGCAAGAGACCTCCCAAAACCAGTGGACTACAGGGTGAGCTGGCCTCGTGCATTTTATGATTCAGTGTGTACGTGCTGGGGAAACTATGATGGATTCGACTGTGGTCAGTGCCTCCCAGGCTGGAGAGGACCCCAATGTCAGCAACGGCACCATGTTGAGAGGAAAGAGATAACAGATCTGACTGATCCTGAGAGAGAGACGTTCCTCTCAAGCCTGCACCTGGCGAAACAGAGCCCCAGCAGCCGATATATGATCCTTACAAGCAACGACACGACAGTGGATGGGAACTATGCATTTCACAACACAAGTGTGTACAATCTGTACGTATGGATGCACTACTACTCTGCCAAGAGCTACGCTGGTTCTGAAAATAATGCTGCACACCGAGGTCCTGCTTTCATCTTCTGGCACCGAGTGTTTCTACTCTTCATCGAGAGAGAGATTAGGGAGCTCACTGGGAACCAAGACTTCTACATCCCATACTGGGACTGGACCAGAAGCAACCATTGCAACATCTGCACCAACAAGTACTTTGGGGGAGTTGGCCAAGATGGTCGTATAGACAGTGCTTCTCTTTTCTCAAAATGGGAGACGATATGTCCATTTCAGGAAAGTCTTGGCATAATCTGCATCCACTCTGATGCATCCGATCCTACACATCTGATCCGCAACCCTGGAAGGGATCCAATGTACAAAACACTGCCAACCACTGAGGACGTTGAAGACACAATGGCAACACCCGTTTTTGACACCCCTCCATTTGACATAACATCTCGAAGAGGCTTCAGGAACAAGCTAGAAGGTTGGTTAGATTGCTTAAGACATATCCCATATTTCTTTTTAACAACAGGTAACTTTAAATAATTTGTGCAGGTAAGAATTCTAAAACATAAAGCAGCAAAAGAGCTAAAATATTGAGCAGGGAAACTCTAAACTAGTTCAAATGTGTTCCTTTGCCCTGGCAGGTTTTGAGATTCCCAATGATTCCCGACACCTGAATGCCTCTATGCACAACCTGGTCCACAGATATCTCAATGGCACCATGTCTCTGGTGCCCACTGCAGCCAATGACCCCGTCTTTATGTTACATCACAGCTTCATTGACAAGTAGGTTACGAACTATCATTCTTGATCAATTCTCATTAAAGCCTAGGCTCAAAAATTTTTAAAGTCTATTTCAAAACTGCACTTGCATGCCTGTGTACACTGGAAGAGTTATTGGTGTAGGGACCACTGGAACTCCACAGATGAACTTATATATTTATGGGACAATAAAGTATAGCGTATTGTATCGTATCGCATCGTACTGTATCGTACTGTATGTACTTAAACTGGACCTTTTACTATGTGCACCACGTGTAAACCTAATCTTTAAAAGCTACAGATTAATTTCATACACTGTTCTCTCTGCTGTGTGGATGCATGTCAGGCTTCTCGAGAGGTGGTTGCAGGACCACAGTACAGCGAGCTACCCTGACAGTGACGAGGTCCATCCAGCCCAGAGAGCGCAGGCCTACATGGCTCCTTTCTTCCCTCTTCGCACCAACAGCTACTACTGGGGCAGAGACACCTACAGCCTGGGTTACAGCTATAAGGAACACAGCCTCTATCGCTCTAGGGCTGGGAACAGCGAAGCAAAACAGGCTGCAGGTAGAGATAACTGTAAAACTAATGTAAGAGCTGTTAATATTTGTGTGTACAATGGTGCTGGAAGTTAAGGCATATCCCTCATTATTAGGGTCTCTAGAGGATTCTACAGGCAGCGGGGTCCAGTGGCAGTGGCCTGTTCTGGGTGTATTCAGTATTGTATTGGTCTGTGTTGGTGTTGGAGCTGCTCTGAAATGCAGAGGTAAGAATTATAATTAATTGTGAGTTAATAGATTTAAAATAATTTGAGAAAGAATGTAATGACCGTAGAGAAGTGTATATTTGTCTAATCACAGTATCTCTATTTAGACAAAATGCGGAAGCCAGGAGACACTGAGACAGAGGAGAAGCAGACACAGGTGAGCTTTTTAACATTATACCTATTTTTGATGACTTACAGAGGTGGAGACTAAAACAAACTGGAAAAGTCACCACATTTGTCTCACTCCCATTCATTTTTTCTGTGAATGCAGTCTGATTACAGGTCCAACTCTCTGTATGCAGTCTGGGTTAAAGAGAGGAACAGGAACGCTGACGAATCACCAGCAGGTGATGTTGCCTCTTGTGGGTCTCATCCACAAAATGCAGCGCCCAGACCTCCATCAGAGGGGAGAGGAGACAATATGCAGTCAGCTGTGGAAGTACAGCTTTAGATTCAAATGGATGGAGAGTGAATCAGATAGGAGTATGAACAAAATAAGCCTGAACAGTGTATAGGCCACCAACCACTATAATAATATATCAGCACAGTATCAGACTTGCTGGGTACACACTATACAGGAATCAAGCCAGTGAAATATGTATACCATGCATCAAGGTTCTTTTATTAAACATATTTCCAATGGAGCTATTCACATGAAATGTACACCTGACATTGATATTAATTCAATAAAACTATACAGTCGCATTCAGTATACACTGGACACTACACTATACAGACACATTCAATGAGACTATAAGTGGAACAACACAG